CTTTTTCCAGAACACCAGAGACAAGTGCTCGTAAACTCTATCACAATCTTCTCAGACGTTAAATGACAGCACATCCAGTGCAGCAGTCTTACATATGTTATGACATGAAGTGGATCTATCCGGTGGCACGATTTTTATTTATTTTTGGCTACTTCACAGTCTCACAGGCTCACAAATTTGTACACAATTCTTCAATAATGAGTAATGAATCAGAGAGATTTTGTGTTCATGCATCACGCGTAAGAAAAGAACTTGGGAGGCCATCATTTTCACCTGGTCAGATATTAACAAAATGAACTCAATGGCGACGACGATACCCACCCACCCACTCGCTCCTTGTCCTTTCTCGTGGAAGAAATTACGTCAAAAGTTGTGTACTTTAAGCAATTATTTCTGCTGCACGGTACGCCAGGTACGAATAAAGGGAGACCCTTATCATAATTGTTATTATACGAATGCGACTATGCGATTGCAGCAAATAACTCTCTGCCCAGAGAAGAATGAGAGAAATAAAGAAGGTCCTCTACCTGAGTGTTCATTAGCTGATTGTGCGAGCGAGTGGATATAGCAAACTGAATTGCAACAACAAAGTCACTAATCAACGAAGAGAGGGCTTGAGCCAATAATAAAGAAAGCTTTCTACTCGTAAACCTTGAACTGTTGGTTTGCTGCTTCGTCGTTCTTGGTCGTCGTCAATACACTTTTTGTTCCGTGTGTCTCGTCCCATACTACGAACGAATCTACACCATTGAGACTTTTGTAGGGGGCGACGTCAACCGACTAATTGATTAGGGCAGATTGAAAAAGAGGACAAAATCTGGAGGAGATGAGTATCACCCAAAACGACGGTGATACTTCTGGAGGCGAACAACGCCTTGGACGGGTCTCTGATTCTAGGAGGAGAGTGGAAAGAAATGTGCATATTTATTATTATGGCTCATGCCAAGCCAGGATCAGTGCAGTAATTCTGCCAAGAACGGCACACTATATATTGTGTCATGAATGATGAGTATTGTCACCTTTTCACCTTTCCCTGCTGTATATTGAAAAGTGAATAGGATTCACCCAAACTATTCAGTCGTGGTTGGTTGACTCGGTGTTAATACCGGTTTAATGAACCAGACGAAGGAGAGGAGCACTTGGAATAATGCAACAAAGGACACTTCATTGGTGTGGCAGATAGCAATCTTCTTATTTTATAGTGTTTTGGAGCATCTGCTGCTCTTCCTCGTTTTATTGTGCTTAAACAAACTGACTTTTCCTGACTGGACATTTTAAGAATGGCAGTAGCCCCGAGAAGTTGAGTGCAAAAGAATAAGCAGAGTAAACAATGTCTTCTATTCTGAGATTCACATTGTGCTGATGAACAACGTGGGTGTATTTGTCATTGTGCAGATTCAATGTGGACAACGCAGATCGGAACAGCTCCAGCTTTGCGAACTACATATCTTTAACGGAGAGCATCACTTTTAGGGTCCAGCATCAGTTTCAGAGTTTGTGCGTAGTCTCGTGACACGAGATAGCGAAAAAAAATAATACAAATCCTTAGTTGGCCCTAATTCAGAAAAAAGAAACAAAAATTTCCCACAATTATAAGCCGTCATTTATGCACAATAAGATTATGGGAATTAACATAAAAATTATTATGAAGCTCCATTATATCCGAAATTACACAGCCACACACAATCCTTTGTGACAAAGGAGCTGTTAATTTCATGAATTCCACATCCATGCCCCGCACAAAACGGTGAGAATATCATTCACATGAGCGAGCAGTTGTAACAAAACGTCCAAATGAAGTGGGACCACTCCCCCAAAAAACTATGAGCCGAGTAATAAAAGAATAATATAGTCGCGGTTTGCATGTTCAGTGACTCGAGTGATTCTCAAAGTGAGTGTACCTCACACGATGGACAAATGACACTTGGAACTGTAAGTGTCCCTTCCTCTAATTCGTCCTCTTCTTCTTCTTCCTACATTTCCATTCTTGCCTGTTGGACGTTGACAAAGGGGGACGACTACTAAAGTCGTACGTACATTTATACTCAGTGTATGTCACCCACGGTCTGGGAAGACTGATCATTTCTCCACACAAATGAATGAGATCACTCCAATCAGTCAAAAAGCATAAACTGTCCAACAACTTAAAATCGGAGAATGAGCGAGAATCCCCTAATTCCTTTGAGGAGAGGAAAATCGTAACAAAATGAAGCATTATTTCTCCTTCTCCTTCTTCTTCTTTCTCAATCACCTCCACATTCAATTCATGAACTGGAGGATGGATAACCTTCGTTTTTTTCAGCCCTACAAAAGTTATGAACAAACACGTTGTGAATGAAGTGACTCTATGGTCCCTGGTAAATAAATTCTGCTCTTGAGCCACTTCATCTCTCCTTTATGTGCACTGTATTACTTTATTGTTGCGATTGTAGTATGTATAAGTGGAGTAGAGTCCTTTTCGCTATTTGTAGCATCATCGTTGCCATTGTCGTGAAATGCACTGGAGGAGGAGGACCAGCAACTGACTTGAAGAGTCTTATTCGAATTTAAGTAAACTGCCAAACAAACAAGTACAGTAAAAGGTCCCAATTCTTTTCTTTTCGTGTTTTATTTCATGCTCTCTCTGCAATTACGGATGGGATGGGATTTGTCATTTTAAACTTACTTTTTCCAATACGCACCAATTATTTACAGTGTAGAGGTTGCACGGCCCACTTGCAAAGTCTCAATGGATTCAGGAGTTGATGATTTTCTTATTTTTTCCAGTTTTTCTATGAACTTTATGAACTACGAGTGTGGACCACCTTCTTGGAAGGTTTGGGCAGGTGGGCGAAAGTTGGATGTGCGCCCTGCTGCCTTAAATAAGTGTTCGTTTAATGATGTCCTCGATAAAAGTGTGACCAATTATAATTGTTATTATTATTATTATTATTACGGGGAAGGTAACAAATTTCCTGGGTGTAAATGAACGACATTGATCTCTCATAGTGTTCACATGTGCAATAAAAATAACGGACTTGCACCATCCGAAAATTTTTAGGTTTCTCTAAATCCGAAATATTACTTCAATCATTTCACATCATTTCTCAAAGTGAGAAGAACATGATCGTGATGACTAACGATCCACCGTGACTAATGATCCACTCGAATCCACGATACGACCAGAACCTAATGTCGCTGTAGGATTGCATTTAAGGGGTTGACATTACAAGGAAAAGAGAACAATAACAAACACGCTGACTTACACAGGTAATAATATCGAGTAGGTCGACTCAACTGGTATTGTGGATAATCTTATTACAAGCGTTTGAAGGATTTGTCATTCGGATAATAAAGGAGCTTGGGTGCATCCTAGTTGAAAAGACCTCACAGGGAAAATGGTGACATTCTGAGAAGGAACCCACAGAACACCGGTCGTCGTCGTCGGTACAAACACATACATATCCAATCCACTACCTTGTCCTCCATGACACATACCACCTCCTTCCGCACTAATTCCAAATTAATTCAAAGGAAAACACCGACCCTGTCAGCAAACAAATATCCCTTCATCATCATCACCACCACCATCAGGACTAAATTTAGACACAAGAGTCGAATAATAATCCTTCCCTGCCCTTAAATAGCGAAATAATGTCATTAAAACGAGATACTGCTGGAGAGAGAGGGAGAGAGGAAATCAAGAACGGCAATCTGATTCCTGCCACTGATCACTTGTCTCAAAATGTAAATAAAATGTTGATGAAAACTCATTTGAGAGAGCGGAAACGCTGCCTGGAGAGACATTAATTCCTACATTGCATACATTTCGTCTTGTTCCCAATTCAAATGGGGTCGTCGCAATATAACAATAATAATGTTGACGACGACACAACCCTTCTCGTCGTCTCTTTCCATTGCGAAACCTTGCAACTTATGTTGTGGAGGGAATCGTCATCATCATCATTTCGTTGTCAATAATGATTATGTCATCATCACGGACGGACATACACGGGCAGATAGTGAGTTGTGCTGCCGGGTGTGTTGCATGTGTGCAGATGAGATCATGAGAATGAGCCGTTTATCGCGATGAAGAATATTATTGCCGTCGACTCGTGTACCGTGCTGGATTGGATTGGAGTCATTATCACAAACTAAAAATCGTTTCCCATTACGAGCGACACGGGAAAATAGGCGACGACGACCCCAGGAGCAGCCCTATTCCGTCTTTATTTCAATACGTTGTCACCATTTTGATTACATTACGCGTCACACATCAGAGATAACGGCAGAATGGGAGGAATACGTACGTATGTACATGTGTATAGCTAAAAGTCAGGATGATGATGTTGATCCATTTATCCATCTGCTATGGGATTCGGTGGTGTGGTGTGGTTGAACGTTCACACTTTATTTACCATTTAATGCCAGTTTGTTATGTGTGAGTGAATCCGGATGATTTATTCCCGGAGGACGGAAAGGAGGCAGCAACCGTGACAGCTAAAAGTTACACACTTTCCAATGGTTTAAATACGTAGCTGATAGATCACATTAGTTAGTTGGATGGAGGGTAATTCTCTGAAAAGGATTTCGTATAGAGGGAAAAGTGATAAGCCGAAAGGTTCTTTGGAGAAAGTAGCAGCGGCGCGATTCACGTCTTCTCTTCTCCCCTCCGCTCATCGAAATAGATACAGTTTTGCATGACACGTGCTTCAAAGTCATCAACCAGTTTTCTCACATTTGCTAAAATAATCACTTTGTTATTTATTATGCTGCTTGAGGCTCCATTTATTGCTACAAGATTGGATTAATTGAGTGGAAAAAATTGCTCCTTCATGATTCGTTTGTAAATGGAGTCGTAGGCTTAATTATGGAGTATTTACAGGTTCCTTCACCCTTTGTGAAGAATCGATCCTGCAATATTTTGCTAATTAAGGAGTAGTAAATATTATCTTTTAGAGAGGAATTTCATAAATTTTCAACTTGATAAGCGAATAGTAGTGATGTCTAAAAAGATGAGGTTTGTTGTTACCGTAGGAAAAGTTGTGCTGACTGGTTGGCGTCATTATTTATTTATTATTATTCAGGTCGTAGTAGTAATTGTTTCGAGTGAGTTTTGAGATTGAATAATGCACGAGTGGCTTTCTGTCTCATTATTAGTTTCTAGTTAGTTGGTTGGACAAAGATCTATGCTAACTTATCCTCAGAGTACTAAATATAATAATAATATTGCGTTTCACACCACCCTTTATTGTCCCTGGCTCTTGGTTTCCTCTCTCTCTCAAGAAGTCTCCTCAATCACGGGATGGCCCTTTATTTCCTCTTTATCTCTCCATCTGTCTGTAATTTGTTGAGAAAATGAGAGTCTTTAACTGGAAAGTGTCTCCATCCATACACCCGAAAACCCCACCAACCAACCAGCCAGCCAAGCACCACCATTCATGCACCACTTTACTTTCTCCACGATGACGCTCTATGATACGGACCAAGTCTGCTCCCAATTTGGCAATGAGCAATTACAACTCGAGCCTAAATTTGGAGTCTGAGGGAACAAACGAATAAGGAAATTATCATGGTAAACTTTGTTTCCATCCTGTTTTCCAAATTCGTATTTACGTCGTCGCACAATGCTTATACTTGTTTCGTTGGTCATATTTATCTCGCATACCCGTATCGATTGTAAGTCAATTCGTTTAATGGATCTGGGCGCCTTAAGGGCAAAGAATCTCAGACGTGCTTCGTCCACCATCCATGGTGAAATTAGATAAAGAACAAAATGAGGCAAATAAGGCAAGCGTTCCCAAAAACAGTAGCATGCAGACGATGTTCAGACCGGTGTTAACGAATTGCTGGACTGGAGAGCACTTAGGTTTTGGGAGACAATCAGAAACATATTGATGTGTTTATTGCACTTTGGTCCTCAAGTCTGTCGTCGCCGGCTCATCGGGTCTCATTTGTCGTATTTATTTATTGCCCGTAAGACAATTGGATGGACTGTGTGGTGTGCCTGAGCTTTGGTCAGTGTCATGATGAGGATGGGTCAAATGGAGTGAGGACATATATATTCGTACCAAAGTGGCGACATGCTCACCAGCCACAGAGAACAAGGAGTCATTTCATCAAAAATGACCCAAAAAGTTAGCCTCACACTGAATATGTTCACTGTAAATTATTCCGGGTTGGGCTTGCGTCCCTTTTCCCTGACTGACTGACCTTACTTACTACCAAATTGACCCTTATTATTATTCTAAGCCCATCACACCACCATTCGCACTTCAGTTTAGGGTAGTTTTTCGGCCATGCATCAAATTCCAACTTTATGGAAAAATGACTCTTAACTGCCACTTAAACAAAACCACAAAGCAGGACATTAAACTATGAATCGATACCCCAAGAAGCGTCCCACTACTTAACTGGCAAATAAATATGTGCAAATCAACAAGTTTCAAGTAAGACCCACCCGTTTTGCGGGACACGAACGACGAGTGCGTTACACACAATTGTCCCAACCTTCTTCTTCGTCTCGAGAAAGTGGTTGTATTTCCATGTCGTCGTCGTTTCGCTGTTGTGTGTGTGTGCGAACAAGGAGGAAGGAAGGAAGGAAGGGAAAGGATTTTGGCGACATGGCACGAACCCATCAGAGTTAAGTGGGAAATGTCATCTCCCAGCGTTGTAGACGTGACACTATCATTTGGCCTTTATAGATGTAAACTGCTCACTCTTCATGTCCGCAGTTGTGTCGTTGAGTCGTGGTGGTGGCCGGCCAGACACCTCTAATGTCATCGTACATATAAAAATGGCTCAACTCGTATGTGACCTCTCCTCTGCATAGACTGACCCTGACTGGTCTCCATCCATATGTACCTATCCGTAGTATATGTATATACCTACATACGTACACCATACATTACACTTTCTTATTAGTCTCACATCGTTCTGCGTCAATGAACAGCGCCGTCGTTGGGCATAATTTTTGGACGGAATGACCAATAAATGATTAAATTTATTGGGCTGATAATTTCCCTTAAATAAAGTTAAGAGTAATAAAATGCATCATTTATTTGAACGGTTTTAACCTGCTTGCGCCGAGAGGCCATTATTTTTACTGGACTAGTGTGCAATTAAGTAGGGTAAACATGTGTGGCTGGACTAATTGATAGCCTCTCTCGACATTGAAGAAGGAGTTGTGTGGATGTTGTTGCACTATGATGAGTCCACTTTAAAGTAAAACACATACCGAACCACTACTGGTCTTCTTCCAGTACTGAATCCTACATACACCGACTGCACAAAATGTTTACTGGGATTTTTGGTGCGACGACGACGACGGCAACGACGATAGAAGTTTGTGTTCCTTGTTGTTTTGAAGTGGCGGCGTTGTTTTGGCTGAAGAGAGAGGACCCAAACCGACCGGAAAATAAATCTGTCTCCTCTCCTAATTAAACGCCAGGCCTAATAATCTATAATTGGGTTTAAGGAAATATATATACGCGAGAGAGCATTCCCTCCCGTTGGGTGGAAGCTGGACCAAAGGGTCCGACTTCAACTTTCCTTGTTTTTTCCTCATCTCTGCTGACTCGGTGGATCATGTTCATCCAATTTCCAAATTTCTTATTACTCTCTTACGCTTTGAACTGGATGCGAGACCATGCCATGCGACGAGACGTTGTTGCACTGGTTTAAATCCTATGCTCGTTCATTAACAATGGATCGATTTAATGAGTCCACCCCTCCTGCTGCAAGGAGGTTTTCATGTTTTATTTCACATTCTTGACAACTTTTCCACAAAACTGTTTCTCATTTCCTTATCCTGAATTCTTGTAATTGTTCCTCAATTGTTCTGACTTTTGGACGGAGAAATATATAGTTCAAGAGAAAAAGTTGTCACTTTTTCCTCAAAATCAACAAATCCTCCCATAATATGTATGCTAGTGGGTAGGAGCAATTTCAATAATAGTCTAGAAATGTACTACTAAATACTTAGTTAGCTAGCAGTCGATTGAGCTAAATGGGGATTGGTATGAATTTTTAAGTGTGTGTGCCGCATAAACGTGTCCCATTTATCAGTAGCAGTGATAACTGCTGCTGATAATCTCTAGCAAACAGTTTATCTGAAAGGACGGTAAGCTAGAACTAGCTACTCGTGTGCAATATGCATGTCGCAGAGTGTAACGTCATGCAAGGAGACAATTTGACAATTACTTTGGGTCGATGAGAAAAAAGTGAGGAGGAGAATGATTTATAGCGCAAAAAGAGCTAGCTCGTAGTTTCTGAAGCCCGTTACAATGTAAGATTTGTCGAGAAATCTTTACAATTTGAGTTTTTGAGGGGGTAAAAAGACGCCCACAAATAAAGGCTAGCGGGTGGACAAAGGTCTCCTCGGGTTGACTTTTACTCGAGTTATGCTCAAGTTGCTGCTGCTGCTGCTTCTGGTGCAAAAGAAGACGACGAGCTATAACAATTTGGAAGCCAACAATGGATGTTCTGGAGAAGATGAGGATCACAACAAGTGCATTGTGCGGAGAGAATTCCATCCAACCTCTTCTTTGCACAATAATTGACTCTCGATTCACTTCATTCACATAAAATTCTTTCCTCTTCTAACCTACTCGCCATTCATATCGGACCCACCTTTTGTGTCCACAGCGATGATGATACTCATAATAAGACGAAAACTGAGGTAAAAAGGACTCGAGAGGGGTTTAAAGTGCATGGACGAATAGACGGACAACTACTTAATGGTTGTGTGTTATGTAAAATGATACAAAATCATAAGACGGAGAAGAAGAAGAAGAAAAAGCTAGAAAATCATCATCTTTGTTCGCTCCCATGCTGAGATTTGTCCAATTTCCAATGAACTAGACCTTACACATTTATGAAAACACTTAAAATGTTTCCAAGCTACGTAAAGCTCCAGGCACAAGAATACACGGAGAACAACCTCGTACTTCATCTTTTTATATACAAAGTATTCATATTTTTTCCCTAGTAAAATAATGTCGAGTTCATCCAGTCACCAAATAATAATGTAAGTGCGTGTATTTTTATGAAAAGAAGAAGCAGCCTCTACGACCAACAATGAATGGGAACAGTGTCAAATGGTCTGAATAATGAATTGGTTATTATTATGTGTACTTTTTCCACCTAAAAGTCAAGCCAAGTTCTTTAAATTCTTTGCCCAGTTGCAGTCCAGTAGAGAATGTTAACCAAAAATTATTTTAAAATACTTACTTACAAACGACCCCATGCCTGGATGTATAACATTCATTCATAAGAAGAAGTTGCACGTTAGTTGTTAAGTTAGTTAGTTGCATATTTAAAATATGTAAATAGCAGTTAACATAACTTTTTAACGAAATATTGAACACTTTACATTTGTTATCCCTCCATAATCCGCAGGCCAGGTGGATTATCCGCATTTCTTTGTATAGCGAGAAACGACAAGTAATTACAAGTAATCGGATTGTCCATTGTTGCAAAGAGAGTGACTTTGTGACCAGGGAGTAAAAATAAATAAGTACGGATTTCGGGGGTTTTTGGGACATGAAGCGTTCCTGGAAGGAGACAGAGCGTAGCATTATGCGTGTAAAAGGGTCCTCCAGCCCAGCAAAGGGAACGAAATAAGTAGTAGTAGGACTTTGTAGGAGGCACCCACAAGCAGCACTGCCATAAGTAAAAAGAGCCTTATTTTACCATTTGCGTACGTACATGGCAGTGAGAGCGAGTTGGTCTTGTCTATTGTGGGGACGGGACGTGGACTCCGCCTGCTCTCTCTCGCAGAGCTTAAACGGTGAGGCAAAATCTTGTTGACATTCACTCTTCGGTTCAGTTCCCAACAGTCAAGTCGTCACTCTTGCTGCTGCCAGATCGTACATAAAATAATGTGTCTCTCTTTAGCACAGTAGTCTCAGAAGTCCCATCGGCATGATGACCACCACAGAAAATCACAAGTATTAATTGTTTGAGTGCATTGCTAGTACAAAGTTTTTTGTGTGACCGTGTTTTGGTGAACTGTACACTCTAAACATAAACCAAGATAAGAGATATTATCATCTCATGAAAATGTTGTCCGATCTGAAATCCTTGGAGCGGAGTAGGCGAGAATCGTCCGGGTCGACGTCGCCATCGGGTGGGAGGAGGACACCACCCTCGCCCAAGACAGACGCCGGGGGTAAAAAGTCATCCCTCTTCACTGTCGACTCACTCCTAGCCAGCCATCACCAAAACAATAATAATAATCACCACCACCACAATTCAAGGGACCATCACCCGGTACATGAATTTAGCGACCTCTCCCCACCCGCGACTCCGCCAAGTCCTGCAATCGTGAGACCGTCACCCATGTCGAATAGTCCACTTTTTGCCCACTATCCTTTTGGACCGTACGGACCGGGCAATTTGCTCATACCCGGGTTACCTTTTCCACATCCGGCGTCTATCCATTCCTGGTCGGGGATCAAGTTCCCATCATCCGGAAATCATCATTTGAGTGATGCTCCCTCCAGTAAGTACATGCATATTTTAAACTAAAAATTTTATTTCGTGTCCTCATTTTTCATAAAATGCACACATACTTGAGTATCTTTCAATCTATGCGTCCAGCAAAATTAGTGGTGGTGATAGATAGGACATACATACTGGTAAAGGGGAAGTCGTTGGAGGAGGGTCACATCATCATGAATAAAATATGCATACAGAATTTTTTACCCTTTAATAAGTTGGACTAAATGAATGTTGAGTGTCTAATAAGTACGTATTGTTGGGCTGTTTGCTACTGCTCTCGATCCCTCAACTCACCACAATCAAGTCGTCAACAGTGAGGTTTCACACATTCATTTTCTCGGCAATTAAATCGCATGAAAAATGGTTTTAAAAACACGCATCGTGTCACAAGCATACACGTCATCCGTCCATTCTCAATTCTCACACAGCATTTTTTTATCAAACTGTGGTGACCACGAATGCAGAACTAAAACGCAAAGTGTCATGAATCTTTTTGGTGTATAGTCGCGTTCATTCGTTTGTGCTCATGTCATGCACATTATTGTTCCATCCACCAACGACTTATTATAAGTTGGCGTAATTCTCACAAAATCCTTGATAATTAAATCAAATTAGAAATCCATTATGGGAGTTGACTGGCGGAACATTGTGGTGCACACTGTAGTCCTCATGCAATAAATAATAAACGGCAACGGTCACAATAGCTTAATAATCATCATCATTCATAAGAGGTACAAAATGCTTTCCTATTTTTATAGTCGTCCTCTCTTCCCCGTGTCATTTTCGCCATGCAGTTTCTGTCACCTCGTCCGGACTGGTGGGTTTGGTTTCGTGAATTATTTCACTCCATTGTGAATTATGAATTTATTATGAAAAATGATGAGCAGAGTTGTGACAATGACGTGATCTATGCCATTGACATGGGTGGGATGATGATCAATTATGAAAAAGTGTGAGGCATATGGCGTCTTGTATATTTATTGGCATCTTGAGCAATAAAACAGGAACTATTTATTTACTGTAAGAACATTGAAACTGATTAGCCTGGGAAAATGGACTGACAGTTCAAGATAAACAAAGCCCTGTTTGCTGGACTGCAATGCGGGGAGGGTGGAGGGGTGGAGGCAGTATTATTATTATTATTAGGGTGGGTGACGAGGAAAGAGGATTTATTAGTTGGATGGTTATTTAGCTGGAGCTACGTATTACTTGTTAGGATGTCGTGATGCATTGCTTTCCCATTCTTCGGAGTCAGTCTTCTTCGCGGCGGTGGATTTTGTGTATGAAGATGTAGACATCAAAGTGCACGAAGCCGAGGTTGTCTTTTTAAAACGTGAATTCAAAAATGAACCAAGAACAACCCTTCAGTTATGTCTATCCACACGGTTCTTCTTCTTCTGAGTGACATGGACCCTCAAGGGTGCGACTGAGTGAATGAGTCACAATCCCCTCATTGTTCTTCCCTCGTCATGAATCACACATTACACAAATTTGTATATAAAATTTTGTTGAAATTTAAATTGCAGGTCCGAGCAACGAGCCTCCATCGCCTCCTAAAATCCCATCGCCCATGAAATGCCATTTGAGGAAGCACAAGCCGAATCGGAAGCCGAGAACGCCCTTCACCACACAACAACTTGTAGCGTTGGAGAGGAAGTTTAAGGAAAAGCAGTATTTGTCCATTGCCGAAAGGGCAGAGTTCTCGTCGTCCCTAAGTCTTACTGAAACTCAGGTACATTCATATTACACCGTAAAATTACTTGCATTTTACGTACTTTCTCCTCAAAAAAGATGCAATTACTTGATTAATAAGTAATTAATGGAGACTGATTAGTGAGCATTTTGTACATTTGAAGGATGCATGCATACCATTTACATAGTTAGTTAGCATCCAGTGGAAGGAAGTGACGAAAGGTGTGTGGGTATAGATGTTGATCTATAAAAAAAGTGGGACTAATGGCTGACTCAACAGTGTTGAATCTTCTCCTTCTTCATTTGATGATGACTAAATTAGTAAAAGCCAAGAGGATAATAAAATGGACGTGGCGTGGCGTCCAGTCCAGTCAACTACCGGCCTGAATTGGTGGATGGAGGTTGGGCCGATCTCAAATACAAGTCTGGATAGATAATAATTATCACTCTCATTGTTGAGAGAAGCAAAAGGGATGATGATGATGATGGGAATGTAATGAAATGATGATACTTAATCCCACTCTAATGGCCACCACCACCACCACCACTTGAGGCCTGTGTAGCTATATTCTATTCTAGAATTGGGTGGTCAGCCATTATTTACCAAGTGCTGGATTTCAGCTAGATAGAGATATGTACATACTAAATTCTATGACAAAAGAGACACCAACCAACCAAACACGACCATATTTAGGACATCCCATCAAAAGTTATAGTTACATTTTATGCCTGCACATTAATTGTCATCATCGCATCACCATTACGATTAGACTAGTCTCAATTATTCTCATTTTTTTGGGGAATTAACGCCAAAAAAGAATTGCGTGGTCATTTCCTGTCAAAACTTTATTATCCTCGTCGTAACTAAATAGGCAGGAGTGTAACATGTCATGACACTCGTTGGGCTAAACCATCCGTGAGATAGATTTATCGCCGTAATAATTAGATTTATATGTACCCATTTTTCCGTTGGGTAGACAAACTTTATAAAAATATTTAAATTGCCTACAAATGATAGACTCGACCACATACTTTTATTGATAGTGGGAATTTGTTGCCTAATTACGATTCAAGTTTTGCATTAATTCCTCAAGTGATTATTAATTTGAGCTAATTCATTTCGTGGGGTGAGAGTCGGGCTGAAAATTCTTGGCCTATCGCGAAATCAGAATTTCACGCATTCCTCCTCCTCCATCCAATCCAATCCAACCTGTCATTCCTCAAGTTCCTGTCTGGCTGGCTCCAAATTTTGGGGGTTGATGTAGCAAAATTGTTTGATAAGGATGTATTAATATTTGTATGGCATTCTTTCTGACGAAATCTAAAACCTGGAGCTCAGTCATTTCTAACAGCACATTTCTAATGACTGACAGCTAGCCAACAACGTCTCGTACATAATTAGATTCAAAATTTATTACAAGTTTACAATAGCTGTTGCCTCATAATGTAGCATTTTGTTGTGCAGGCAGACTAATGACAGGTTTCTAGTATTTCCCTTTTGTGTAAAGATTGACAAAGAAAATTGGCAGTCTCGTTGCCCACTTTTGAAATGAAAACGATATACGGTATGCCCCCATACGATATAATAATACTAATAATGATAATGGCGACATGATGAGAAATATGCTATAGTTAGGCCATTGTGCTTTGGATGCCACGTCGTCGTCGTCGTCGTTTGGTACTCTAAAATCTAAATTTGGCACTGATCTTATGTACAATATGCATACTTAAATGCACACACATACATATTTAATAATATGCGAAAGAGTGGCTGGGTTTTCAACCATGTCTTTGTTAGTCAGTCGTCGTCGTCGTCGTTCGTAATTACGGCTCATTATGATAATGCTGGTTAGGTTAGGTATTCCACATTTTTAATTAACTCATTAATCTCCATTTTGAAACGAGCCCACTTTTCTTTCTTTATTATTTCCTTCATGAAATGAATGATGATAGATTATTATTATATTATGGATGACGAACAAACGACAGCGACGCGCATGTTATTTTATAAGCTTATTAAAAAAATTAAAAACTAAAGGCTAAAAACCTGACCAATTTCCTCCTCCTTTAAAGCAATAGCGTCTTAGGTACTCTCCCCACAACAAGATAATTGCTGTAGCATTAAAACAAAAACGCTTGACATAACCCATTGTGTTTTTAGCGACAATCACAACTAGATTATCTCAGCTTTTTACTAAACCTCGCTTACTTTTGACCACGTCAGATTATTATTACGATCTCTCCGCCCCTTTGATTGTGCCAAGTTTACAGAGCACCATGCAGTCGGTATTAACAAAGAAGTAAGCCATTTAATGAATTAACAGAGTTGACTAAATGCACACGCATGTTGGCAAAATGATGTTGACTAAAAAGATGGCTTTTTAGACTAAATATGCACCACAGTTCCGCCGATATGTTCAGATATCGTCACATACTTGTATATACTTATGCATAGATAAGCAACCCCCAATTAACGCGACTTTCAACTTAACAACAATCACAATGATTGTTCTCATTAATGTGAATGCATGCATGTCACGCTGCATTGTTAAACGTTCATCAATTCGTGTATCTGCATCCTTCAAATGTCTCTCAGATAAATTTTCTCATTGTTAATTAGTCATCGTGACCATTATTCAATTAAAAAGTTAACAAGGGATTCAATTTTTTTATTTATCCTTGTATTTGTTTATTTCGCAGGTCAAAATTTGGTTTCAAAATCGTCGCGCCAAGGCAAAGAGGATTCAAGAAGCTGAGATTGAGAAGATCAAAATGGCCACGCGTCCCCACTTTGCAGCCGCTTTTGCCGCAGCAGCAGCCGCCGCTAATTTTAATACTTTAATGCAAAATAGTGCTCAACTATTTGCTCCTCATTAAAAGTCAATATGCATAGTTTTTATTAAATAAGTTATCATACACAGAGTTCGATAAGAAGAGTCTACCATGTGTAATTTATAATTATTAATATTCGTTGCATAATCCGTTCGTCCGTTACATACATTACATACAAAATTATTGGGTACATATATTTACAAGTAGTTGATTGAATCTACCCTGCCTGCACATAATAAGTATTTAGCAATAAATTTTCCCTGTACATCCAAAAATACCTCAAAATAATAATGTACTTACACGTGTAATGTAACTCTGAATTGTTTCTAAAAAATTTAGTTTTGAGAAAAGCGACACATTTTCCTGGTGGTCTAATCAATACATTTAGGCAATGATCTCTCCATGTGTCTCTCTCTCCCTTTAAAAAACTCGTGTGGGTCGTCCTGTCTTTTTCTCAAAGTTCAGTTTTCCTTGGAAAGTATGGCATTTTATTATTTCATGCAGATCGTATAATTGAATTTCTTTTATTTCTCTCCACATTTGGGAGCGGACGGGGCGAATTATAATTATGTTATTATGTCACAAGTCGAAACCTATACAAAGTAATGAGTCATAAAAAAGTTCTTGTTACTCGGAATTCTTCTTGCTCCCCACCTGTAAACTTTCTTAGCCACACAGCAGCACACGTCGACCTCCGTTTAATAAGTTACGGGGTAATTGGCACCATTTCTCAGCGACCCATTACTACTCGCGGAGAAAGTATTGCACTTTGTGTCCAAATTTTTTAAATAAAAAAGCATGATGTACGATTCAATTTACATATCAGAGTTGTTTAGATTAAACGAAATATGATGCCATGAATTCGGCAATGATTTATTTTAATCATGAGTTTTGACTTTTGGAGTGAGTTCACCTTTACCGTTTTTTTACGTTACGTTACGTGTGTGTAAAACTCTGCTAGGCGACAATCTTTTTGTGATATTATCGTTATTTTTAGGTTTACAGTTTTTGTAGTCTGTTTAATTCGTTGATTATTTTAAATTAACACCACCGCCGTAATTATTATTAGTAGTTTAATTTAATATTATTCTAATTGATATACCATAACTGTGTCCAGTAGTAGGTTTAATTGTGTACTTATACTCGTATGTACTGTTAGCGGAAGGGCGACACTACTGAAATAATTTTAAGACTGTGTGCCAACAAATAAACAAATTATGAACCGAACGAGTAATCCTGCAGTAAAAAAGGCCATTCGTAATATCATATCGCATCATAAAATATGGGGAAAACAATCAAATTCTGGTCTGAAAATTTCATCCAATTTCATCGGTGGGACGGCTTCTTTTTATGATTTCGCCATGAAGGGGTGCAGGCAAAGTTGTAAGGTCTGGAAGGGAGCATCAATATTCCATTCTCAATAACCCACCAACCAACCGCCCTGTGCAAACAGTTTGCATATGTAAATACGTACGTACATATGAAAAGTGAAAGAAGAAGCAGTACGAAGGGTTTGATGGTTTTTTGGTGGTGTGCACAATTTAATGAGAGAAAGCTGCTGCTGCCCGATCCCGGGTTGGGAGATTAGCATTAAATGGAGTTTAGTCTAATTACATGAAGGGGAATGCTAATTCAATATTCTTTATTGTTCGGCGTGTGCAACCCTTGCATCGTATGTATGTCATATTTATCCTGTCGTGGCGGTGGTGGTGGTGGTGGCGATGGACAGTAGTAGTAAATAAGTAGCAGTTAGTGTGTATAAAGGGTTAAACAAATAGTGAGGAATTTTTATTCCGTCATTATTGCAAACACACAGCCACATCGGGGGCATTTCTAATAATGCAATGTCTCGTATGCAACCTTGGCCTATGTCGTGGCACTTTCTGTCCATTATGCAACACGGAAACTCATTTTTCTTGACATGAACGCCTGTTTTACACAAAGACTTTCTACCCCGATCATCTTTTTTTCTTTGCTGCCTTCGTGTGAGCAATCAATTCTCGCAGCGGAACTATTTTTGCTATTTACGACCAACGAGAAAGTAAGTGAGCAGTGAAGAGTTCATCAAATTAAGTCGGGTGGATACCTTGACGAGTATAAAAATGTCTTGTTTACTGCTCTCGTACCCGAATTATGAGAGTACACGAGGAGCAGCATAAATGGGGATGGTTTTATCAGGATAAAAAATTAAGTGTGATTAAAAGGTCGTCTGTCAACCATTAATATAATCGCTTTTCTCTTCCCTCCTTTCACGACCTAATAAACGTTTCAGAACCAATTTCGATAACAATTTTGTCATAAACGGGAATTATAAGGTAATCAATTCCTCTTTTTCCCAGGTTTTCCTGGTTTCGGTTGTCCGAGTTAAACCAAAATCCGGTATGGGCCAGGGCAAATAAACAAAGTGTTTAAGGGGCAAATATATTTTTATTTGCATTGGCACAATTAAATTAAAAGTGTGCAAATACGAGTCAATTATGTATGTAAGGGGACGGACTATTATTCAAATATTGTGACTTTTATCGGTTATTTTATTATTCGGGAGCAATTAGTTTCATAATATTTTTTTACATATCTTCCAAATTCAAGATAAATTCACAAAGTAAAATAAAATTAAGATTGAAAACCTTTAACATGACACGTTTCCTTCCGCTCATTATTTGTTCGGATTTGTGTCATATTTCTGGATTTCGGATGAGAAACCACGTTCTTCTTTGTAATAAACTCGACGCATAAATTATGCCGTTAATTTATTTGTTGTGGCAACGATTTACTTCTAAGAGACCCAATTTGAGAGGAAGAACTCATCAAGTTTTCATTAATAAAGCGGACTCGTTCATTCCGCAAGTAATAAGTAGGCAGGCAAGCAGGCAAGTTGGTTGATTTTGACGACTGGCTGTTGAATATTGGAGAAGAAATTGGTGAAAATTAACTGGTCGAATGAGTCAAGGTGGGGTTTGTTCCTTGCTGCGACTCTGCGACCTGCTCATCGAATTATTATATCCTCATCAGCCCCAAGAATTGGCGTCCTCATCACTGTATAAATATGATGAGGGAAAAACTACACTAATAATATTGTGCCTTCCAAATATTTAATACGGAAAACCAGCCAATTCCGAGTGGCGTTGTGAAGCTGATTTTCTTACTTTGTCACCATGCATGTGTTTCATTAATCATTTTATTAAACATTAATTAACTACCGGCCAGTAGTCCACCGTCACCACGACCAATTCACCACTTGTACATACACACACGGCATATTACTCCCTCGTCACAAGCCTACTTTGTTCCTTTAATATTCCAGGCGGAGAAGAAGGAGAGGACAGATAATGGGGATGATTGCGCCCAAAACCCGACATGAACTAACTGCCGCTCACAATTACCACGGAACAAACTGGGATTATGCATGTTTTTTTAATTATTCATGCCCCATACTTGAATTAAAGTAGGATCACTAGCTCATAATCATTCCAGCAGTATCAGCAATCATTATCTTGGTGGGTTTAATTGCTCTCCTGCCGTAAAACGGGGGCTCTCTCCCTGTATTGTTATTGTAATAAATGTTATTGTGCTCATATATGTATGCGATTGAGTTTGATATGATTTAGTTTCGTGAAGACGTAGGCATTGCTTCTCTCTCTGAAAACTGGCAGAATGACAATTGAGATATTAAAATTATGATAATGTGAAACTCTCATTACTCGTTTTATTTATGGTGGCGAGGTGAGGAGGATGATGAAACGGGAATTAATTGAGTTTTTAGACAAGTACTTAATATTTCGTGGCATGGCATTATCATTGCGTGTCATTATTTTCCTGTTTTTCCGTGTGGGAGCAGCTCGTTGACTTAAATTCGGCTTAATTATTATTTCTTCTTCTCAGGACAGCAACATCTCATCGGCCCGTTTTTCAGATTAGATTCGTTAAAATTTGAACCTACCAAGAAATACCACCACACGACACGTCTTAAATTAAAGGCGGTCATTACTATTATACATATACGAACCAAGACCTTCTTATTATAGTATCATCAATCCCACCACCACCACAGCTTGATGAGGATATAAATGTTGTGTAATTGACCACCGCCAGTTAAATAGTTCTCTCTCCCTCACTCTCCATGTCCTTGTTGTTCTGTTCTCTTGATCCCTCCCGCAGGTATTTAAAAGCAGGCCCTCAAAATGTAATCCATGTGTCAGTCGTCGTCGTCGTGGATGGAATGAGAGAAGCTCTTAAAACTTGTTTTCAAATTCATTTCCATGATTATGCCTTGTTTTAGTGGTTCAATCAGCTACAAGCTCATTATACTTCGGGGCGTTGTAGAAATCAACCATTAGCCCTTTGACGCTCTCACACCATCCGCAACAACAACAACGGAAGAAGAAGAAGCCGAGAGTGAAGGATCTCTCAGAATGAGGATGACACCACCCTTACTCGAACTTTAAGACCTACCAGACCATCATCGCCGTCTGGGACTTGGCTTTCGAGAAAAAGTGACGAAAAAGTCTCGTCACGTACGTGTCATAACTTGATCGATTAATTTATCACATTGTTGTTGTTGTCCAGCTATTCTGATTGTTTGTGTCTGGGTGATAGTAATGAAGCCCAATATATATTTGTATTTTCATGAAATGTTACCTTTCCCCATGCTTATTTACGTAACTTGAAAGCACATCAGTATTTATAAGTACTTTATATGGCGGGTGGGTACAAGAAAAAGGCGTTGGTTAGTAATACGCTCTGCAAATAGAAAATGTGAAATAACTTGTTCAAATTATTGACTCATTATCGAGTGAAATTAGCCAATTCTCTAAACTTTAACCCATCCAGTTCTTCGTCTCGCTTTTCACACTTATTTACACCCCTAAAAGTGGAAAAGGTCTCACATTGTCAATATTGATTCTTGGATGAAGGCTAAAGTGTGCGATGACTATGTACATATTTACTTCGTATGATAGTCCCAGAACAAAAATAATGTGTTGATGATGCAGCAAAAAAATGAGACGATATCAACGATTCGTACACACACATGCCCCTTCCTGCCGCATTATTGTCGCGATTAAGACATTTATTGCGATCATGACTGGAGGCATGATGATTTTGTAAATGCTTATGAGCAGATATGTAATGTACATCCATACGCACGCATAATGCAGCCCAAGAATAAAAAAGAAGACTACGACGACGACCACGATGATGATGAAGACGAAGAAGAAGAGAGGACTAATGGGATTGTCATTGATTCTCAATTAGACAGGGCATTTAGGTTTCCTGCTAACTTGATCAATCTCTTCATGGTTTTCCTATCAGGGAATGAAACACGACACGTCTCACACCAAACCGCACCATCGTCGTCAACGTTCAATCCGAACCCGAGTGGAAAAAATTACTATTATCATCATCAAGACCAACATACATACTTCTTAACGGGGAAAGGGAAGAAGAACCAACAGTTGATTTTCCTTCTATACATACGCGAGGAGACCGAGATTAGACCCACACACACAAACACATACTTAAACACGGGGGAAAGAAGGGGAGTAAAAATTAATGGATTGAAGTAATGGACATTAAGAGAGTCATTTACCCACACGCTGGGCCATTGTCAAACTGGAAATCATTTCTATTGACTTGACTTCATTGGAATCTAATCGTACATACACACATTTCTCTACGTACTTACTTACATATCGGCATCATCTTCCCTTCGCAATAAAGTGCTGTATCGTATTAACTTTTGCATCTCACTTCTCCCTCCTCTGACGGAGGACAAGTTTGTTATGCTGCTGCTCCTCGGAGGATGATGATGTCGTGTTAGTGATCAGAGTTACGAAAAGAAAATGAAAATCAGCTCATTACCAGCTCCATTATCTGTCAAGTAATATGTACGTAACGTCTCAATCTGTCTTTTCACCTCTCGTGGTACATATACCACAAGTTTAGTTTCTAGTAAAAAAAAACAGTCCAACAGATGCGATGCGTTGTGTGTGCACTCTGGCCGCAACAAATCAAACAATCGAGTCGTAATTAGATAATAATGATTTGAGTTTAAACACCGGAGAGAGAAAAAAACGGGAATTTCTTTATCAAATCAAGAATAATCATCTCTTGCTAACTAAATTCTTCTCTGGCACGGTATCAAGTATGTGATCTTGATAAGTTAACAATAAGAATGCTACAATTTAATTCGCCACCAGAATAATATTGGATATAGAGAGAAAATACTTGATTGTTCCGTTGGAATCAGTTTTTAGGGAGGTGCACAGTTATTTATTGAGATTCTTCTTTTCTTGCAAGTTATTAACGTGATGCGGGGTTCATGACATGCCCGTCTCGAATCAATCCAGCCAAAATATATCGCATCTATTCAATAATAATAATGCCAACAATGTGATATGATTACATAGAGCAATTAAGTCATATTATTTATCCCACTTCATGATCCCTGCTGCGAGAGATTTCCCTTTGTGACGTGATGACAATCAGTTTTTATCATTGAGTTGGAAATGAGATAAGAATTATGTTCAGAAATCAGTAACATTTTATGTTTGGGTAATGGATCAGCATTGTTAAGGGAAGGAAATGGCTCTAGGAGGCAAAATAAGCTCAAATTCGGCACATCCTCCTCTGCATAATCCAATCTGACTGAATATTATACGCGTATGTGTACATTTGTAATGATGAGAAGCAACAAGTCAAATTTTGTAGCTGATAAATTAATCAATCAAATTGTGTAAATATTTGTTGCCGTCAATTTTCAAAATGTCCGCAAGTAATTTTACTGGTGTGGGAAATAAATTTGGTCAAAATCTAGTCCAATTTAGAGTTTAAATATTTGTGATATTTTTGTATAGCGGATTAAAATTTAACTAGGCATGATTATTACAAACTTGTGTAACAAACAACCCACGCAAAAATGGGCGGCTTGTTTTGCTGCATAATTTACAGAGTCTGGACTTGAAATCGTTCATATTTATTTATACTTTGCATTAAAACAGGGAAACATATCATTGTTTTGCAGCATATGTCGACACAACAGAAAATCAATTCGTACCAATTGGCATGCACACACCTTACAATTACCCAGTTTGTCGTTCTTCCTCTCATTCTCAAACCTCGTCATGCCTCTCTTCAGTCAGACGCTTACGTGTATATTTAGTTACCACGTCTTGAATCAAATTCATTAATTTTCTCATCCAAGTCAGCTCAAAGGCATCAATTAAGTATGGCAGGAAGACTAAATATGTATGGACGTATTCTTAAGCTGGTGCAGAGAGCCATGTAGCCGTGGAGGAAAAACACACTCCACATCATCATCTTGACTCGAGTCTCGTGCAATTATTACTTCACACACCCAATTATTATCCGTTTTGAATAATTATAAGTCCAACCCGTCGTTCTGCACGGTTTGTGGAAATACTCATTAATTATGACAAAGTGGTTGCATCGAATTTATATAAATTCTCAAAGCCATCCATCCATCCATCCATCCACCTGTGCAAAATGGCTCATTACTCATTTACTTTACTCAAAGTCAATAGTCTAATAATTTCGGGACACTAATCACTATTTATCGCGAGTGCCGAAACATTACGTAGTCAACTGTATAATGAGAGAACCTCCGCTCTGTCATCACCACCAGCCCAATCAATCCAGATTGTTCAAGGTGTGTGTATATATGGCCAACAAGTCTTATCGACTCGGGCAACCAGGTAGCTTTGTCAGAGGTAGCAGCCAGATGGTTATTTCGCCATTGATTCCTTTGCCTTGAGCCTTTTCTTATTATTTTAAGAAAACGATCCGCCTAAGCCAGAAGGATGAACATAAACGTGTTGTTTTCGCACGGGGAAATGTGTCATGTGGTAGAATTGTATTTCATCTGTAAATGTGAGTACATTATTGTTACGATTTCTGCACATTTCTCACATTACGGACACTTTAAGGTTTTATGATTTCTTGGCCACGTTGTAAATTTTGCGTCGTAAAGGGTAGAATTTCAATTTCAGAGTTTAAGTGAAAATAACAGAAATGAAATGGCTTGTTGAGGATTTTGTGTGTATGTATGAAATTGTGTCTCATCATCATCGTCATTCATATCGCATGTATCACATCATCATCATCACATACGGGAAGGAGAGGAGATAAAGTAGAAAATCCGACCGGATTTCATTTCAGTGATTCCACATTTAATTCTGTATTACATACATGTAGAACATGCCGCTTGGTTGGCTGGGTTTTGGGTGGTGTGAAGCTGGCGTAGGAGAGAGAGAAGATAAATGACATTGTTATAATAATGTGGCTATTATTGGGAGAAGAAGCAAGCGGGGATATTGCTCATAAAACTGGGTGAGTACCGGTACGTAATAAAATCATGGAGAATGTAGTGGAGAAGAAATAAACAATTTTGAAGAGACCAATTCCCCGAATATTGCATTAGTTGGAGGGGAATAAATTTATAATGATTTGGTTCAGTCGGATGGCAGTGGTGGAAAGGGTTGAGAGTAAGAATTTGGGAAAAGGCCGTTGATTCGCTTGTCATTGGATAAATTACGGAGGAAGTCGTTGTGAAAGGGGCAAGATGGAGAGTCTAACACGAACTAAGTTTCTCCTCTCGGATGGATAATAGCAATAATAATGTCGGCCCAATATACCACCCACCAACCTCCCACCCAACTACTCGGCTCCTACGCCATATACTTTCCTGGGAGGAGGAGGAGGACGAGAAGGAGATGCAATTTCCGCAAAGAAAAGTGTTGCGCTCCCGGAACTTGGGATGCAAAATAGATTGGCCATATTTACATTTTTATGTTTCACTCGGATTTGGGAGACTTTTGGTTATCCCTGAGACCCAAAAGGGAGAGGCGAGGCGAGCCCAAACTTTTCTCTCACTCCACTCGCACATAATAATATACGGTAAATTGTGGGTGAAAAGGAGGAAAAGTACATTTAAAATAAATTCGATTCAATTTAGAGACTCTTTCTGTGCCTATGTTTTCCCACAATCGAGGAAAGTGGAGAGAGTAGAAAAATGGAAAAAGTTACTTTTACTTCTTCTTCTTCGTCGTCTTTGACTCTCTCGACGTTTTTAAATTGAAGTCGTTTCTCTCCAATTCAATTTACTCTTTGAGGATTTAGTCTCTTTTCATTTTTATTGCTATTTTTACCTTCGAGACGCTATAAATTTTATGCAGATTTCAATTTCTTTCTCATTTCCCGAGCCCCTTCTTTGCTCTACACGGTCTGTCGTGTCCCTCTTTGAGAATGAATTCATTTATTACTCTCCCCATGTGAAGCTTTCACTTACTGCCTACTTACCGTGTAGCACTTACTTTTCGTCACATTTATTTTTTACACGTCCCAACATTCGACAATGCAATTTAAATCCTGCCTCAGCCACTTTCCCTCGTGGCAATGGGCACCTATTTGCATGCGTATACAATCATTTATCTCACCCGGATCGGGTAGCGGGCGACAGGAACAATAAGAATTCGTCAGCATTCTCTTTTCCTCCATTTTTCTCGTCCCATTGTTATCCTGTAATTGCCTTGAGACCAAATCAAATAACGGAAACTCCCAGAGACCAAACGACGACGAAGACGACGACGACGACAACGACGACGATGAGTTCCTCTCTTTTTTTTGCCTCGTGTCGACTGATTTTATTTTTCTAGAAGAAGAAGACTGCTCGATTATTCAAGAGCTGATTGGCTTTATTGCGTCTTTTTTTAAATGCATAGTCGCTTCTTCCGATTCCGATTGTTCTTCTGCACGTGGGCATTATACACATCCCTTTTTAAGAACACTTTCCCTTTCTCAATTAACTTTCAATTGGCAAACCTATACTAAGTGATTCCATTTAGATATTTATTCCCTCTGCACGAATAGCGAGGATGGTGAGTGGGTGGGTGGGTGGAGGGTGAACCTGATTTATTCTGTCAGTGGGGTGGAATTGTACTGTAATAATGCAGCTTTACTGCGATTTCCCATGCTGAGATTATGCATCAGTTTGTGCATGGTTTATTAGAATATATTTAGTAATTCATGTATCAGTATGGGAAATAACAAGTCTGCTGCTCCATGAAATCGCGTAATAACCAGAAATACAGCAAAACACGTATATTTATATCCATCTCTCTATTTATCATAATCCTTAAATCAATGTTTACACAAATGTGGAACATCCATCTCTACCAAAGCGGAGAGGAGAAGAAGAGAGCATGTTAAATGTAAACTTTGTCTTAATTATGTCTGTTTTCTTTCATCCATTGTCAGATTAAGGAGTAAAAGTAGGAACATAACGGAGACAGAAAAACGAGGAAGGCGAACGACCAAAGATTTCTGTCACAAAAGGAGACGCCACTTTTTCAGGGTGAAATCTTTTATGAAATTTAATTCTACACAATTTTCACAAATTTTGTAATTCCATATTGCAGTTTTTCTTTCAAAATAATGATCAGATCCTGAAATAATTTCTGATTAAAAAACACTCTACGCCTTGTAATAACAAAACGTGCCAAACATTTGCCCTTTATCAGGACGCGATTTCTGGAATGCATAACTGTTTCTTTAGTCGGACATCCATATGCCTGGTGGTGTTGGTGCTTACCAAGATATTCGTATTCTGCTGGTTCATTCATCACTTACATAAAAATCCACCCATCTCAGCAGACACAGCTCGGGAGGAAGAATTTAAGGAAAAATAGACATGATTGAACTACTTATAAAGATTAAAGAAGCAATATGCTTAATTTTAACCCTGCCTTTGGTACTGGTGCTTTTGTGCGGTGTGGTCACACTGCGTTCAGTTCATTCAGATCTGTATGCATATATTCCTTCTCCTAAAATAAGAATAAAAAGTGTTTCCAGTTTTCCTAGCAATAAAATAAATGCCTGGCCATGCAATCACACCCAGACAAATTCCATACTGCACACACGGTGCTAGAAACATGGGAAAACATTCCTCCAGTTGTGAAATCGGCCACGACGGTGACTAAACAGATTTGTCAGGTGTTTGGCAAAGACGAAGAATAAATTGACATTGGAATAAGATTTTCTTGTTCCCTTCTTCTTTTCATGGTGGTGGTGGTGGTGTCGTGAGAAAGTTTTGAGTGTCCTTTTATAGCTGTGTGTGTAACAAGACCAGCTTTTTTGACAATAATGGAGAGAAGAAGAATGCAATAAAACATTTCAAAAATTTGAAAGAAACTCTGTCACGGTTGTTCAGAAATATTGTGTCATTCAGTTCATGTTTTGGGTTGATTGAATTATTAGTATTTTATTTGAGACGACGGTAAAAAAAGATTCGGCTCCTTTTTCGTGTGACATGATTCGTTTGATGACCGTGACTTTTCGTAGCAAGAAAGTCACAACGACGAGTGTAGCGCTTTCTGCTGATGCTATATCAAGGAGTACTTGAATTGACCACTCCATTAAGCGATTATCTCGATAATTGTGACCGCACCAACACCTCGGCACAATGGAGTGAAACTCTCATTTCATTCCTTCCCATTATTACCACGGAGTAAGGATGGTGCCCTTCTTTGGAGAGACCGACGATGACGATGAGGACGAAGACGATCATGACGCTGTTACAACAACCTCAGGAACACCGTCAGGAACAGATTCGAGTACGGTTTTTTGGTCACATGAGGATTCGATTGGGACAACAATGACATCTCCGCCTCTCTTGATGCACAATGATGCCAACAAGCCGGCCAACAAGCAGCAGCAGCAGCAGCAATACTACGGCAACAATATGTCTCACGACTCTTCCCACTTCTTTTGCACCGATTATTCCACCAACCCCATTTATGGCCGGGACACAATTGGCGGCGATAACAGCTTATCCAACAATAACAGGTAGGAAGGAGAAGAAAATTTATAGATTTTTAAACGCTGTCATGCAGAGAATCGTTTCTTGGCTAATTGTTGTAAATTCGATTTGGACGTGGCGATGGAAAATGTTCCCACGCAATCAGATTAACTGAGCAAATGGCACAAGATGCTTGGATACATACATCATGCATAAATAAGTACGTGACGATGATGGTGGGGTGACCGGTTGGGAATGTGGTGCACTTTTGAACTAATAAGCATTTTGATTATTACGGGAAAGAGAACACCGTGAAATAATGCTGTTTCTGTTGCCCAATGATTTAAAACTGGTTGGTGTTTGTTTCTTTTCATGACAGAGGAAGACAAGAATCAGGAGCAGCAGCAGTAGCACCACGACAACTTGGACCACTACCTCCGAGAAGTTGCTCCATAATTACCTCCCCGCACTTGGCCCATTTGACCGATCTGTGTTCCCCATTGGGAGGAGGGGTGGATAATCATCGTCATCATTCCACCACCCTGTTTTCGGTAGGTTCTCGTACACACTAAGCAACCACGTATCAACAATTCTTAATTGTTATCCTCGTCATCCCAGTTACTGAAACGTGTGGATTGATGGGTTAATTTTATGATGATTGGAGAGATACGATCGGACTTGAGCTATTTCAGGTGCAGGGACCCAGTGAGCGAGGAAGGAGATGGGATGGACAAAGTGAACCGCGGAGTGGTGGTGGCAGGGTCCTCGTCCGAGGTGACAAAGTCAACTCCCTGCATGATCTTCATCTTCATCAGCATCATCACGGCAATAAGAAGCACCCCACAGCCATTAGCATGAGGAAAGGGGTCTCGTCTTCGAAACCAAAGAGGAAACCAAGGGTCCTCTTCTCTCAGGTGATCTCTTGACGTGATTTACACAAACTGATTGGTATCACCTCAGCCAAGAAATGAGGGACCCTTCAGTCCTCGATGTACGCATGTAGAACCACGACGATGGCGGAGATCTTCATCAGCAACGGATGATGATGATGATGATGAGACTGATGAAAAACAGGGACACCAAAGGGCATGGAATGCTCAATGTTTTTAAAAGAGATGAAACTATTCTTTGTTTTACTGGGAAATTCCTCAGATATCATCTCTCTTCTCCCTCAAGGGTGGTGGTGTTGGAGAAATAAAGTACTCACGAACTAGCTCAGAGAAACTATTTTCCACTAAAAAATCGAACCTTCAAAATAATTAACGTGGATATTTGTGTCCAAAGGGTGCACAAATTGTGGAGTTGAGTTTTTATCATTGGTCAGGAAATTTCCAGTAAAATGCTGGCCTTTCCTCATGTAAACTAAAATATTTGGTCAGCTGGAATGATTAAATCAGGCAAAGTCAGTACACTGCATACAGCTTTTGTTAAACTGAGGCCCTTGTAAATTTTTAAAAAATCTTCAAAATAATGCAACATCTCCAATATGTTTTTCGAATTTGCATTTTACTTCAGTATTGGTCGTCACATTTACGCAAACTGACTTTTTGGTTCATAATTAAAATTAGGAAATGCAGTAAATTATTAGGTGTCGTTTCGCAACTTTGCGTGTAGTAAAAAATCGCTACGTATTTAGAAACCTTTCCAGTGAGGCAAGCACATTGAATTCGACCCTGACGAGAAGGTACCCGTCCGCGTACAGTGACTGATGGAAGGGTCTCTCGTGGCGTGGAATGGGTTTACTCTCCCACACGAAACGTTACCCTCGACGCGTTGCGTAACTCGAGCTGCAGGGGGAAACCTGTCCGCCGTTACTTTGTTCCCTCATCTCCTGTAAATGTAAAAGACGTCTCTCGTATGCAATGCTAAAATGTATTTTCGTTCTCTTTCCGTTCAGACCCAAGTTTTCGAGTTGGAAAGAAAGTTTCAACAGCAACGCTACCTCTCCGCCAACGAGAGAGACGGACTTGCCAAGCAGTTGAAGTTAACTCCAAATCAAGTCAAGATATGGTTCCAAAATCGCCGCTACAAGTCGAAAAAGTGTCAATCGCCGTCCCCAATTCTAACCTCGGAAGAAGTCGAGTTGGTCGGCGGAGGATGTGACACTGCTCCTGTTGTTGTCGGATCGTCGCAGCAACAACAATGCGTCTTGCAAGGAAATGGTGCAAATTTTGGCATTGCAAATACTTATCCTGTCGACAATAATACTATGGCCTACCCAACAGTATCGGATGATGAGCAGAGTCAGAATCGTGGAATGATATCTTCGACCTATACCAATTTCGTGCCTTTATCACAATATAATAATTATAATAATGAGTCAGATTCGACGTATGCTTGTTGTTATGCTACAAATTTTCATAGCAATTTATCCTCAGATTTTAGAAATTGTGTAGGAATTCAGACTGACGACGCAGCTATGTTGAGCAGTGGTGGTGGTGGTTTGGTAGAGATGGCAAATTCGTCGTCGTCATCGTATGGAATGATACATGGCGAAATTACTGCACAACCGAGTAATATGTTGGTCTGATGAAATTGTAGTTTAATACCTAAGTTTTAGAATCTAAGATTTGGAGTTATGCATATATTACTTACTTAGTTTGTATTGGAAGAAATGTGTGAATTCTCATTTTGGAGACAAGAATTTAGAGGAATGTCGTAGTGTAAAAGAATGTAGTTACTTAGCTAACTTATCAAGTCATTATTTGCGTACTTTGAATAATTTGTTTGGACTTGAAACAGTATTCTCTTCATATTTCAGTAAAGCAATGTCCCCAGTCTAAGATTAAATTAAGCATTATACTAAATTTTAGTGGGTTCAGTTTTACCCAAGTGCAAAGTGGACCATGTTAGTAAGAAAAAAATAGAAATTTTAAATATAAAAAATCCTACTTTCACCATCAAAACAATTCACCACCACATGATAAGTGAAAGGTTTTAAAAATGTATGTATTGACAATTTTGCTAAATGAGTATGTCATCATTTTTACGGAGTGATGATACATAAACATAACTGCTTTCACTAAAATTATTCATAATTGAAATATGACAAATTACACACTTGTATCAATCTAACACAGCTTTAATTAATTTAGCCGTTTAAACTGTGTGGTTGCGAGCCATTTCGCAAAATAAATATTGAGATTATATATGTATACACACATTCACTTTCATCTCACTTTCCTCAAAAACCCAAAACCTATGCATATGAGTACTTGAAAGTTGACAGTACTCCTTCAACATGGTAATTTTTCGCTTAAAAATGCCACTACCACGCATATTATGGAAATAAAACAGTATTCGCTCTCTACGTAAATTTCTCCCCCATAAAACAATGCCTTCCTCCGGTATTGTTGTTTCGTGCCCTCATCTTGGCCATTATTTGTCCACACGTTTGATTTGTGTGGCATGGGCGTGCGCTTTGAGAAGAACGGTTTTGAGATTGCTGGGAGTGAAGTGATCGCGTCTGGATGCGCGCTGATTAGTCGACCCGAGCCGAGGCGGCCCTCACGCCAAGAACCCAGCCCACTCCAACAACTCACCAAAAGCAATCCATCTCGGGATCATGTCATGCATGCACAAATTGCTCGCTCGCTCCTCTTCAGCCTCTGGCCTCATCTCGTTCTCTTTAAAAATCAGCTTTCTCACCCATTAGTATCATTCTCGAAGTGGTCGACGATGGCAATAAAATCTGGACCGGGTCATCACCATACGAGTTTTGTGGTTGTGTGTTAAGCCAGTGAAATAATAGTTGTTATTAGTGAAAACACTAATTGTTAATTGGTTGTTACTAGTAAAGTTTTGTCACTATGTCGTCGTCATCCTCAAATAAGGATGAGAACACTTCGTCGACACCTTTCTCCATCCAGAACATTTTGGGCAATAAAAATTACGATGGTGTTTGGACAACGATTTTGTCGAGTCGTCCACGTCCCCTGGATTCGCCGGAGGGGAGCAGTACCTCGCATCATAATATGTTCAAAGCTACCGACTGGGATGCGGAAGCGATAGATATGAGGATGAAGCATCAGTTGAAAGGTGAGAAATTTTGAGAATTTTGAAAATTTTGAAAAGTGTAAATTGAGGTGGAGATTTGAGATTGAGAGACTTCTTCCCGAATGTATTGGGTAATAACCTGTTTGGAATTTTGCCGAAGTGTTTACCAACATACATATTTATTGTTTGAGTAAAATGTGCATCGCAATTCTAATCTAATACACAAATTAAGTTGAGCCATGTACAACCTTGTTATCATGATGACAAATTCCATCCACCCATTTGGGAGAACTTATTATGTAATAAGCACATATTTGACGATTTGGTTATGCGTTCCAGACCCTGAAATGAAACCGAGGAAGAAACGATCCAGAGCTGCCTTTTCCCATGCACAAGTAAGAACAAAGATAGTCACTTTGCATGCACTTTGCTTATTTTATTGTTGTTAAATACGCTGTAAGACTATCTTAAATCTTATGCAAATTAAGTTTGGATTACGGGACAAACGATATTAAGTATGAACGAGAAGTGAGATATGCTCAAATGCCTCGACTAGAATTGCTATTTCCCTACTACATAGCATTCCTATTTTGCATAAGTAGCAATAAATTTCACCAAATTATGGAATTTTTCACTCGCAGGTATACGAACTAGAAAGAAGATTTAGTCATCAACGGTACCTCTCCGGCCCGGAAAGAGCAGATCTTGCCCAAGTCCTCAAACTTACGGAAACACAGGTAATAAAAAGCTTTTCATAAGTTCTGGTTAAAAGTTTTCCTCAAATTTTTATGCCATTCTTGAAAATTGGAATGAGAATGATGAGACAAGAGAGATGAGACGACGTTTACAAATATTGGATGGGGAGCAAAGTGCATGTTTTGAGTGGTCATGATAAGTTTCCTTTCTTGCTGGTCATATGGTTTTCGTTAATCGGCTAGTGTTCAACTATTTTAAGTGGTTCTTTACACACTCGTCGCACATAAAGGAGTTGTATGCTCTCTCTCTCCCTTTAATTCTCTCTGCCCAATTGGAACTCACTCATTCGTGGATAGACGAATTACAGATGTAGCTCTCTTAAATTCATAAAAATTGCTAATAAAGTTAGTTACAGTTTCAATTTAATGGTTCCAGGTGAAAATTTGGTTTCAAAATAGAAGGTACAAAACCAAACGAAAACTCCAACAGGATATGACTTCTCCTTGCCAAGTCCCTCAGGCGAGGAAAGTAGCTGTTAAAATCCTCATGAAAGACGATAAAGTAAGTGATCTGATTTTTCTTGCCATATTTTTTAGGGGGAAAAGGTTAATTCGAATTAGTTTCAAATTCTTAACGATATTTTTTTGTTCTCTTCTCCCCGCGTGTTTCCAGGTTATATACAACCGTGAAGAGGTAAAGCCTTATCTAAGTCCGAGCAATTTGCTGCTGAACTCTTTCTACTCGTATTACTGTTGGCCTTTCCAATTTGGCAAGTACCCACCACCTCCACCCCCCACGGGTCATGGACACCCGCCTCTCTCCCTCACGCTACCACCACCTCCACCCATTCTCCAGTAGTCACATCGAGTGCAAAATCACCAAACTTCAGTCCGGTCGTAGAGGAACAAAGGTGTCGTTCAATAATAAAACATAAGTAAACGTCGTTTTTCGTCGGTCTTGATTTACTTAAATATTTAACGAGTGATTTCTGAGAAGTCGGGAAGGAAGGAAAGTATTGTGCACCCCATGTACGCACTTATTACACCCCGTTCTAAGTCATAAATATAAATATTACTACGTTCTCACCCAATCGAGAGTGGCGTTAGTTAGTTAATATTTGTTATGATATGTTGTGCAATATTGTACGTACGTAGTGATTTTAGTAGGAAAATGAACCTGGTCTCACTCTCAGATATGTAGAAGTGTGTCTTCTATTCATTTATTATTATTATAGTCAAAGTTTTCACTTCTGCTGCGAACGAGTCTCTTATAGCCTCTAAAAATGAATGTGGATAATAATAAATGGCAAAAACAAGTTGGAAGTTGTATACGAATATTGAGCTGCAATAGCCCTCATCTTCTTGGTTGATGTGATGTGCTGACTGCATGGTAAAACGATTAGGTAACTATTTATCTGTTTGAGAGAAAAAGGGATCCTTATTCTGAAACGCTCTCTCTCAACTCATCCTCATTCACGACGACTGTATCCAATCCGTAAACACTACATACGTTCAAGAGAAGCAGCAGAAAAGTGTGATTTCCAATCGTATACAAGTCTTTTTTGGCGTGAAGTGAAATGCGTATTCATTCATGAAGTGTAATAATTATCAGTTTATCATCCTCGTCTCATCCCCCACCACCAGTCCCACTTCTCATTATGATTCCATTAATGAAGTGAACCCTTATTCTTTCTTTGTAAAGTTGGAGTAGGGCGAGTGGATTGTGACACTTGTTTGAATCCCAGGTCACGTCTTGCCCGAGTCACAATTTATTTCTAATTTCGACACTTTCACGTCCCACCGAATCTGGCATGTCATCCTCTCACTTATCGGAGAAATGGTTTTCACTTTTGTAAACCATTCATCTTTTTCCTTCGTGTGTTAGTGCATCAAATTGAAGCTGTTTAATCTCGGGGGCTAGTTGACACGTTTACATTATTGTTATGTAATTCTACTACTACGTACGGTTTGATCTCGTTATTTAGATAGTTGTTTAAATAATTTTAGTTGATAATAATATAAATAATCCGTTATAAGGGTTATGTTTGCGTAAAAGTTGAAAAGTCAATCTGCTCTGTTTGTCTGGCTTTATTCGTTCACACAATAAAATATGCATGCGTTTTGGGAATATGTATGTACGATTGGAAAATGGGTTTGGCCGTGGAGCCAAGCCGATAATGCGATCCATGTCAGAATCAGATGTTCAAATAATGCAATTAATCAGTGTTTAAAGCCCTAAAATACTTACTACATACGTACGTACGGCGTGGATAGACTTAGGATTAGCACGGTGGGTGAGTGGCTTCGAGTGGATTGAAGAGTATCACATTACTTACTTACTTACATAGTACTCTTATGTGTTTAGATGAACAAATGTTTATCAATTACTCACTGCTGTGCTGTAACTGTAACTGTATGTAATTTTACCGTAATATATTATCCGCACTATTACCCCTGTGTGGACACATGTCAAGATGATGAATATATATTATTTGCTAAAACTATGTATGCGAGTAGGAAAAAGAAATCCGTGAAAATAATAAAACTGGATGGAAATGTGAGAGAATGAGAAAGACCAAGTTTTTTTTTCTAAGGTGAGGTTTCTGTACCTTACTTAAGATGCATACATTTTCTACAGAGTTCATAAAATAAATTGGAAATTGTCATAATTATTCAACTTTCTCTAAATATTTTCCAGAATTTGAATTCTATTCAAGTTCTTATTGCATCGCCCTCACCTTAATAAGTTGTTTATTTAGAAAAAAAGGCATCATACTCTTACGCAACGATAAGTAAGAGCAAGTTCACAGGAAGCAATTTATTAGAATTTTTCCCAATATTATGAGTTTACGTAATACGCAAATATAACATACCTACAGAGATATTATTAGGGACAAGGTAACATTGTTGCTTAACCGGGGGTTCGATTTGTATTATTTTATTCCTGGGCTGGGTGGGAGTAGGGTGTGTGGACTAACTTGCGATGATAGTGGATGAATGAATGGCTGAATTGTTGTTGAGTGAAGGGTCATCAAATCCGAGTGATCAATAGCTTTCAAGTGGATTGAAATGAGAGAAGGGTCGTCGTTGTTGTGCTTTTTTTAACTTTCACTCGCTCGATGGGGTGACTTTGAACGCTCCGATCACCAGCCAGCTCACCCAGTCATCACGAGAGAAGAATGAGAGATTTTTTGATGGTAAATGAGCCCAAGCCAACTAGGTAAACTTGAGTAGAGGACAAACAAAGATTAATTTTCGTTCCTTTTTGGTCACTACCATTACAGTTGCATCGTTCCATAATTATCTGATCATCCATTACATAAGTTTGCTCAGATTTGAGACACACTTGCATTTAAAATGTTTCCTTGCTTCACTTTCTCTTAACACTACTCTCAGCACTAGAGTGGTCTTATCTTCGATAACGTTATATAATTCGGAAGACACACTTGTACTGATTACGAGTCAGGATTGATATTCTCTCTCCTGTGGTTGAAATGTATGTCTCTCACTTCCTGGAACACTTTGTAAATTGCATTTTCCTTTTATGAATGAGAAAGTGGCATCGGTCTGACGAGGAAGTGGTCTCACCACCACGGAAGAGACTCAAGAGGAGGATAACGAAGGTGTGAGATGGTCAGACATGCGGGCGGTCGGTCGCCCGACCTGCTGGTGGCTGGAGGGCTGAAGGGTTGCATAAGCGGATGTGTTGGTGCCCGTGTTGGTACCACCTTGCACTAGTGGGAACAGGAGATACGTAGTGTAGTCCTGGCCAAAAAAATGCAATCCACCTTCGCCACTGATACCACCACCAAAGTGTGTGTGCTTTGATTTCTCCAACCAAAACATTTTGCTTTCGCCATCATCGTCATGAAGGGCAATTTACTTTACTTTACTTTCTTGCGTGCCGGGCTGACTTGACTCTCGGTGTCACACACGTTTTGATTTGGCCTTCTCCGATGATGATGATGATGATGATGAGATGGATACTGGTAATAAGTGTGAGTGAGTGAGTGCACTGGCGTCTTTTATTGATATTTACCAACATTTATAATAATATGCAGTGAGGAAGAATAGGGTCTCATCAGCCCAGTGTAAATATAATATCACAGGGCAGGACAGGTGCTAGGTGTTGATGTGTAAAAGTAGCAATTTGCTTAATGGAATCTGGGAAAAGGAGGAAAATCTGCATTACGTGTGGCCCGTCATTATTTTATAATGTCGCATACTTACCAACACACAGGGAGACAGAGAGCGAGAGAGAGGGAGATGGCTGGATAACAATAAATATTGCATAAAGAAGAAAGCTACTCGATATTGGATTCGAGAGAGGAGTGTGCATTGTGTTACTTTATGTCCTCGTAGCATGGCAGTCGTGATGTTCATAACTTTCTCCAGAGCACAAAGGTAGGCACAAAACTTGTCCGTGGACTGATTCTACCCGTTCCAAGAAAGAGGTAAGAAGAAGCTCTCAACCGGTAACATTATACATTTAATAATAAAAGCGTGCACTAATTGAGTCGTGCCGTGGAGGAGTGGACCTCCACTATTTTACTCTCATAATGGGTTTTCCCTTTTCTCCACGAATTTTCGCCATTTATTCATCGCTCCGTTTTATTTTATACTTTTATTGTCTGCATCATCAACCCAGCCATCGAAATGTAAATAAACTTTTGGCCTTTGTTCGTCCTGTTGTTGATCAGCTTGAATTGATTTTGGCAGTAGTTTCACCAGCAGCCTGACCGACCGACAGTCTCGTCAGTGTGTACATGTAACAACCCATTTTATAGCTGTTTCGCACATAAAACATAATTTCACCACCAGCATGAAACTAACTTTTACATAGTCGCCCGCGTTCTGCGTCCAACATTTTCATTGTTCTTTTGCAGGGATTCGTCTTCTTTTGTTTTCTCATACGTTCATAAAAGGTCTCGCCTTTGTGGAGCAGCAGCAGCAGCAGGAGTGAGAGTACGAGAGCAGAAGAAGATGGTCTTCTGAACTGCAAACTTGTCTGAATGGGCGCTGCTCTACATTACACGGAAGTATCGGAGGGAGAAGAAGAGAGAGACGTATTTACAAGCCTCAAATTAAGTCAAGTTGCAGTAAGAGTGGAGTTGTTTGATGTAGTCGTAGTAGTTTCCTTGGGATGATGATGATGATGGTCGTGAAATAAAAAGGATCCCAAAGCCGTATGTACCACGTATAATGGGAGTGGGATGAAAGTAGAGACCAAATTTAACTCTTATGTTGTAAAGATTCCTCCAGAAATGTAAACATCTCTCAGCCCACACGCATTCCGTTTACAATTTAACGCCCTGACATTTGGTTTGCCCAATATTTCCGATACTCTCACTCAACTCTCATGCATACTGGTCCTCTTCTAATATTCCTCTTCAATCCTGTATAAAAATGGGATCAAATTCGGTGCAGTTTTACTTTCAAGTATCTGTAACAAAGTAAGCAAATAGGTCGTTCATTGCAGGAAAAACGGTCCATTTTACGCAACAAATATTTCATTTATTTATCATTGCTTTTTATTCTTCTTTTCAAAATGTTCCCAGAACAATTATGTATGAAATCGAACCAAGTGAAATTTTATGAAAACAAAATATTTTCTTTGATTTTTTTGAAAAAATGGAAAATTTGAATGGAATAGAATAAATGACTCTTGTTGGGTTCACCGGGTGTTAAAACCATCACGCACGGTGCAGGGAGGAAGGGACGACAAGGTATGGGTTTCATGTCGACGATAACTGAACCGTGTCGTCCTCGCAATCGTAACACGGCGTAATTAGGAGAGCAGGCTTTGCTTTCCTTTGCTGAGGGTATAAGCAATTCTGCTAAGTTGGAGTCGATGAGATACAAATGAGATGGTGGATGGGGATGAGATGAGAGAACGGATGGAAGTCAACTGGCTGCTGACATATGAATTTCTATTCGGATCACTTAAATCTCTCTCAACTCTCCACTCTCAGCACCACTTTCCTCCACAATTTCTTCACGTTCACATCCAACATCCCGTCCAGTTAGATAAGTCAGTTCGGCAGACAGAGGAGCAGACTGACTCGTCGTTGGTCTTCTTGGGGTGCATGTAATAGGAACGATTATGAAAAAAAGTTCTTGATGTCTGCTTAGACGCTGGGATTGAGCATTCCCGTCCCGTCGTCCTTGCAATAATCAGGCTCACTTGTGAATTACGAGAAAATTTAGAGTCTCATCTCAATTAGCCAAAAAGTTGGGCCAATTTTTATTTTATCGCATTCGAGTGAGCTCTTCATCCACCCGTCGTCTCAATTATGTACGACTGCACCCAACCATCTCAAGGCTGGCTGGCTGGCAAGTTGGTGTAAAGAAGTAAAATGTGTTTAAAAAGTAGAGCACTTTTCTTGTCAATCCTCCATTCACTCATTGAAAATTAGGCTCATTCTTTCGCCACGAGTTTAGAGTGGCACAGTCCAATCGCGGTCGTGTCATGTACAGTGGGTGCAAAAGTAGCTGCATAAGAACACACGTATGTGGCTGGGGTACCCAATAATGAATTGGCTTTCTGTATCAATCAACCACTTGTTTTAATCCGCAACTTGTGGTCGATTCTATTTTCTGAAATGAAGGGGGATGCAATGAGAGGAAAAGTGTAGTCGAGTGTGTTAAACTGCTCACGTTTTAAAGCCTGACGTCATTTTAGAGAAGAGGAGGCTCATCACTCCGTGTAATGATAAAGTGGTCTTGGTCCACTCTTTATTATGCTCTTAACTCACTCTTCTGGTGCTGGAGGAGAGTGAGACAGCTTTACTTTTGAGTCTGAGTGAGTGAAGTCAATAGGTTTTAGCTAATCAGTTATTCAACTCTCGAATCGTATTTTCAGCTCAATTTGGTCCACACAATATTCACTTGATTAGGGGGAGGTTGTAGCGAATGTACATTCATAATAGGATCAAATCCCCTCCAGTGCTTGTCGAACTGCTTGGTTTTGTCGCGTCTCACTTTTTCCTACGGCGGAGTAAGCGTCAGTATAACCAACGCGCAGTGGGAGAAGAACCAACCAAATAAGCTAATCTTTCTTCCGGTTGACTTTCTTTTTCGGAATTTGAGTCTCCTTCATTCATTCACTTGGTGAAACACGATTTTTGAAAATTGGCCATTTTTCCTCCCCTCGAGAGAGAGAGAGTTTTTGGCTTGTCTTGTCCCATCCATCCATCCGTCTGTCCTCCGTATATTGCGGGGACACACGAGTCAGAGTGATGAGCCATTCCTGCTTCGTGAGGCACTTCCGATCCCATCTTTACTTTTCAGAATAACTGTTTGAGTAGAAAGAGAGACTGAGAGAGAAGTAATTTGTGGTTGGAAAGATTGCTCCCGTTTTATGCGTGGTAGACTTGGCTTCTTGTGGCTCGTGTGGTTGTTGAGGTCACTTCTTACACAAGCGATCTGGGAAAGTGTTTTCTTTCTGGGTGCTGTCATTCGATTGTCATCACAGACCCATTAGAAAGCATCACTCCCACTTCTCCCAGTCTCTCAAGACGAGGACGACGAGGAGGAGGAGGAGGAAAAAGCATTTCCTTAACTTGTATAGTCGACCTTTTCAACGGAAATGAGGTTGAGGATCGAGAGACCACCACCAAAGATTTAAGCGTACAAAGTCCCTTTTAGTGTGGGCAAAGCATTTTGTGCTGTATCAGTTACACAAATCGGTAAATATGTATGGATGGATGACTTTGATGTTTGCCCGTGTCCACCAATTTACAAGATTTTGCCCCTTCAACAGGACTTCAGCTTCGAGAGATGTGTGAGGCTATATTGAGCAGTAATTAAATTGTATCTGGATCTAAATATGCTCTCCGTAAATGAATTACGGATAAATTTCTAGTAATAAAATTGGCGTTGAATTGTGCAACTCAATTTAACCAGTGGTACATAGTTTGACAGGACGAGTTATTCTTATTACGAAGGCAATTGTGTATGTGTTCCTACATGCATAAATACGTACCTACATTTACATTTGTATGTGTTACAAGTCATCTCATGAGCCAATGAGAGTACGTACACTCTGTTTGAGCATCTTTAAACCGAAAGACGCTTAGTGCACCAACAATAGTTTATTTATTCAAGAATCAACTTTTAAACACATCTTTGACGGTCAAATGAGAAGTCTTTTTCTCTTCTATCTCTTGGATCCAATCAAGGAAAGAATAATGAATAATAGGAAAACTATTCAAGTCCGGCCAGATGTACCAACGACAAAACATCACAAACTTCCCAGATATCCATCCATCCATTCCTTCTCCTTTTCCTTGAGACCTTCGGTTTTGACTGTGACCAACAATATGTCAAATTTGTTAGTTTTTGTTTCCAAGCTATTAAACGCCTCTTGAATCACAATGTGCTCTTTCATAGCTTCTGGCCTGGCGTGAGTGTATTTCTTATTATGATGTGAGGAGTGAGCAGGCCAAAGATCACAATCACATTATGTAGAATGCCGCACGTTGAATGAATATTACAGTTAAATAGTTAACCGACCTGCAGCCAATAACCATTATTGGGATGTTTAAATTATTTAGTTGTTCATCTTGGCATCAGACACCAACCAACCACACACCATACATACGTACGTACGTATGCACTTACTTCCAACAGTGGAACTGTAATGACGTGCATGCCTGCATAATGTGTAACATGGGGATGAGGCGTGTGCTTCAAATTGAATCTCGTCAATTAGACTGAAAACTGATGGAAAATGAACCTAATACTCAAGGTAAACAGATTCTGGCAAAGTCGAATTATGTGTCTGGAGTGGCATAACAAGAGCATCATATTTACACACGTGGCTTTTGATGAGCCACTTCCTCCGCTTGACTGCATCTTCTTCCTTCGCCCAGCTAAAGTCATTTTCGATCTTCGACTTCTTCTTCTGCTATTCCAATTCAATCGTCGTCTTCTTATTACGTGCAACCAATGACGAGATGCTTTATGCACGTCCGCAATCCCTCCAATTTTAAGACTTGTTTTTTCTGGTCTCTAAAAAAAGCTATACTTGCAAAACTTCACGTTCTGCACAAAGATATGATCACTCACATTATCAACGAGACGAATTTTCAAATTGTTTCGTAATTCTTGTCAACACTGTGTTAAATTTTAAGATGATGAGGAATATCATGTTGAGTGGATGCTTTATGAAAATTTCATGTATGGGACAAAAAAGTCCATGAAAACCTTAGATTAGTATATAAAAACGATGAAAACGCTGGCACGGTCTCTCTCGCTGCGCGTTGGTTTGTAATTCTGCCGTGTGCACTCCCTGTCGAGCGAGTGAGAAACGTTGCGATGCCGTGCTCTCCTCCGAGGGGGAGAAAATGATGCTTTTCAAACAAAGCGTAAGTATTTCTCATCGTCTCATCGGAAAGGTTTCTGACTGGCTTACATCATTTTAAATTTACACATGTCACATTTCTCAAATTTTAGCAATCAGGATGAGACCATAAAATGCAGTAATTTCTTTGGATTACGAAGTTAATATGCAGTCATTTGGATTTTCAATTCGTGTGCATGCGTCAGTGTAAAAATGGGAGAAATTAATTACTAAGTTTATTCAGAATTCCAGAAAATAGGATAATCTTTGATTTTTTTAACCTACAAATTAATGGTTTGTTGAAAATAAAACATTGACAGGGCTCATTGATGAGTTACGTTTAAAATTCTTTATTGCTGTAGGTAATTTTAAAATTATAACACACAACTAAAAATAGTACAACCAATGAGTATATATAGGGATAAAAACTAAGCAAAAATTGACCAATGAATGAATAGTCAATTTAAGAACATTAACAACTTGTATTGGAAATTCAAAAACAAAACCCAAACGTTTGACATGTTATGTTAACAAATAAATTCTATAGTTGATTTTTAATGGAATGATTGGTCAGTGTATTATTTGTCTTCACGTGGCACGAACAATTCGTCTTCATCTTCATCAGCTTTTCGTGCGGGTTCCCATATCTAAGACAATCAAAGGATAACGTAAATTAACAAATTAGTTAACTGACTACTACAAGCAATAAGTATAATTTGTAAATCATACCTGAAGAATATTGTCGTTTGACACAGATGCTATCATTCCTCCAGAACTCCACGAGAACTCATGTATTGGGGAGACATGCCCTGGAATTAAATTTATAATTAAGAATAAATCGAAGTATGATTTAAAAAACCCAACTCACCGCTATGTATAAATTCAAATTCTTTGGGGATACTGCCATCGTCACTCTCGTTTGAAGAACTGGTAGATGAACAACTAGTGGTACTCATGATATAGACTTTCCCATCGTCTCCAGCGGATGCAAAGGTATTATCATACAAAGAAAATTGTACATTCATCACAGCATCTTTGAATGGCTGAATTGTATAGACGGGGTCATTTAATACGCGAGTATCCCAAATCTTTACCAACTGAAATTAATCGTCATTAAATAATTGCATTAAATAAAAGCAGTTTGTACTCATTAGCAAATTAAATGTTCAGCCTGGAGTAATAATAAATAGTTGGATTAGGTTAGTTATTTTCTGTAGTGATGACGATCGAAATCGAAACCATGACTCCATTTAAAAAATAACAAAGTTGTTCCCATTTGTACATCCATACTAAATTATTTCTCCTTATAAATAGTTAGTCAGTACCTTGTCTGAACCACCCGTCAAAACCAAGGACTCTATAAAGGGAGACAATGAAACTGAATTGATATCTCCATCATGAGCATTTTCCTTAGTCTGGGCAGACGTCGTAGTGCGAATATCCCAAAAAATTAGTTTCTACGCCATAAATTGTTTAAAAAATTTAGCCACTCATTCCTCATTATTGCTACTTTAAAATGTGTATTGTTTCATGGAATTACCACACATACCTTGTCATCACCACAAGATGCCAACACATGTGGCTGAAAGAAATTCCAAGCAACATCCTCCACCACCGAAGTATGTTCAGTATATTTGACTGATGCTTTTACAGTTCTTGGAGAAGAAAGATAAATGGTGGGCTCGGGAGTTGTGTCCGGGTTGGCACAAATATCCCATAAGCAAATCACTCCATCATTGGAGCCCGAAGCCAATATTCCCCGCTCTTTAATGTTCCAGGCTAATCCAAATCCACCTTGACTGTGCCCCCGCAACACTAGAGACGTACGAAATCCGTCATTTTCAGCCACCTCCGGAAAATCATGCGTAAAGAAGACATGGACATCTTTGGATGGCGATTTTGTCGCAATAATGCTGCTATCTTGGGGCATGTGTCTGGCTCGATAAATTTGGCCTGTTTGTTACAAAACATAATTCGGTATTACAACATAATTTTTAAATATATTAACTCGTGTCTCGTGCTACCTTTATGAGTGATTCTTTTCAATACATGAAGTTCGCCTTCATGTGCATCATTTTTTTTCAAATTAACCCCACAGATAAGCAAATGATTGGGCTCGCTGTCCCCAGTGTGGGTCCCTAGCAAAAGTTGGGGTTCGGGCCCAATACTGCGTACAAAATATAATGCACAAAAATTATTCTCCTTTTTATAGACAATTCCATAAAGTGTCATTACTTGACTGTTTCTGTAAGCCATTCCACCGTCAACGACGGCCATACAAGAACGAAGTTGAGACATCTCTCATAAAGTAAAGGGGCACTGTGCTCGAGCCAATAGGAATATTCTTCGTTGAAAGGTATAACTAGAAAGTATTGTAATTAGTTGTGCAATACATTTATAAATTACAATAAATGAGAATACGAATAATTAAAACATACCTTCCAGTTGTGCATCAATTTTACAAAACGGCTTGTGACGGCTAGCATCGGCTAGTTGATGCTCAACAGAACAATAGTATTCTCGATTGCATCGTCGGCAGGGATATTTACTTGAACTTAGTTGTTCGCAAGAAATACCGGTCTTGATGCCGCAACGTGTGTGTCGCTGAGTGTCCATCATAGCTACGACGGTTTGACATTCTGGGACTGCATCATTCGCCTGGTAAAGCGACGAAACATTGGATGAGTTAATGATTAGATTATTTTTTTTTAGTAAAACAAGTTACCTCTATTTCCTCTGAAGTCGCTTTTTTAGTGGTTCGAGAAACTCTTTTATTTGTAGAAGACTTTCCTCTTGCCGAAGCAGTTCGTCGACGCGAATTCTCGACGCGAACTTTTGGTAAAGTTGGTCGTTTCTTCCTGGTGGGAGATTTAGACCAGCTGGAATCTGAATCATGCTGCTCTTCTTCTCCTGCTGAACTGGAGGTGGTGCAAAAACGGCGAGGACGACGCCGACGCCGTTTTGACGGTGCTGTGGATTCTTCAGATTCATGAGGCGAACTTTTAATCTTACGTTCGAGTTGAGTTTTCTTTTTCGATTCCTTTACAAGGGCGCCACCCGCCGAGAGACCAGGTGTAGTCGTAGACGACTGTTTGGATTTCGATGATGCACTTTTGCCAGCGCCTTCATTTTTCTGCACTTCCATGCCTTTCGTTGCATTGTTTTTGGAAGAGAGGTTTGGAGTTTCCACCTGTTCATGTGATCCAACAAAAATGGGTTGAATCGACTCACCCTCACTGTCCGAAATACTAATGGTTGATGCACAACAGGAGCGAGATCCTTCAGTTCCAGTACTCGGATGACTTATCAACCTACTTGTACTTGGAATATTAAGTTCCGATATTTCTGAAGATTGGTTTAGCACTACAAGTTGTTGTGCCAATTTGCAAGCCATCTCATAAGTTACTACTTTATACAAAAGCGGTCGTTCTCCTCCTTGTTCTTCTACATTAACTTCTTCATACTCGCTAACTTCATCGTCGTCACTTAGTACCACCAACGACTTGGACAAATTTTGTAAGTCCTCCTCTGTAATAGCTCTTACGTACATACAGCGATAATCCTTCTCTCCACCAGTGAAGTCGTCCACGGCGACGTTACTCGTAGGTTCCGGCGATGTTGAAGAATGTTCCCCGTCGCTTCTAGGTGAATCCTCCTCCCATGAATCGATACAACTAGCCATCATGATTGCTTTTATCTTTAAATCTGCAAATAATTATAAACCCAAAGTGTTAATACTATCAATTAATTACAAATTATGCCAAGAAAATCAGGACTTTCAACAATTCAAAACTTCATTCTTTTCTCATCAACTTTAGTCACAAATTATGAATGAATTACCACGTCAATTTCCACACAGCTCCCCCGCAATGATAAGTGCAGACAATTGAAATGAACTAAAAAAAATGTGAAATGGTAAAAAAAATGGCGAGGAATCTACTTTGACTGAACTACTGAACTGACCGAGCAGCACGTGGAGACTGGACTGAGAGCAGCAAGAAAGAGGGAGAGGGAAGCGAAGTGAAAAAAATGCGGTAGAACAAAACATCTCGAATTCTTGAGGAATTTGAGAATTCATCTCAATTATATAAATTGTGATGAGATGAAAATAATAGTAAGTAAATTTAACTTTTTGCTATTATATTACCACTGAAAAAATATAAAAAATCTTTTTTTTTGTTTCAAAGTAGTTTATTGGTCACAATTTGCTGTACAAAGTGTTTAAGTTAAGGATGGTCCAGGTCAAGACGAAACAGTTATAAACGTTTTAAAAATCATTTAAAAATATGTCAACACGAAGGCAGTTCTGAATGTTTTGTTGGATTTTGAAAAATGCTTTCCCTCTGTCACATTCCGCAAACAGGTTATCTGAATGAAAGATAAGATACATTTTAATTAGTGGAAATATCAATATTTGTATGGAATTTATTATTTAACGAACCTCACCCACATCGATCATGAGATCACTCAATCAACCTTGGCTTCTTGATCATCATCATTCTGGTCATCTTTTTTCTATTTGGTCGAATGAGGCAAATGTTCTTGTAGAAACTGTAGAATATCGCTTTCGTAATCCTGTCGTGGTTCCAAGCCCCATGAACGAAGAGTAGTTTCTTCAAGTAGTAGAATTGGGCGATGGCATAGTCACTGGCGCAAGCTGCTTGGAGGCCTTAGAATAGAATAATAATATTAATTATTAATAGTATAATTGTTACGCTTATTATGCAGCCCACCGGTAAAATGACATATTCTCGAAGATATTCAAATAAATACCTTCGTTTCCAGAGATGCCGACACTGAACAATTAAGTTTGTGAAGCCTAACCTAAACGATAACTTTACGCACATTTTTTAGCGTTTGGTTTCCTTTTCGATCATCGCGACATCATTGGTTCCTACTTAGAAAATCACTTAATTTTATTAATGCAAATTCAATTACAAGTTGTTACATTCGTGTAACAACTTGTGTTGTGTGTATATATATAATGCATACACATAATGTATGTGTGTATGATGTATATATGTACATACGTACCATCACCGAGGGCAGGATAACAGCTCCTGCCAATTTTGTGACATACTCGACAATTTCCGCCTTCTGCATAGGCTCGACTCCAAAATTATTAATTACTTACTCTCTCCCACAGTTCCATACTGGTTAAAAACTTTTTGTATCAAATTTGTGTACCACACAATTACGGCCAAACAATTGCAACAAATAAATCATAATACCTGGAATATTTTATTTCGGTTGTCTTGTCGGTAGTTTTTTTTCATGCAAGTACATATGTACTAATGATTTCCAATTATGTGGTTTTGTCATATTTTTCGTGCGTTATAAGAGGTAGCCCAGGTACTTGTTTACACAGGTCAGCACAGGTAGGGCACCAACATTGATTATTTATTATTCTTTTCCAGGCTTTTCCAGTTTGACTCGTTTTATATACTAAAGGAGTTAAAATAAGGCATCTCAATTAAGGAGTGCATGGTTAGTTGGTTTAAGTTACATTATTTTATTACTACGGTAAGTACCTATGTACAATACATATGTAGAAGCCAACAAGTCACAAAAACAACAGTAAAACTCAGGATCAGATCGACTACGTGAACGATATGAGAAAAGAACGATATGAGAAAAGTTAAGTGATGATCAAGACATCATCATCAGCAGCAAAACAGACTCATCGTAATGATTAGAGGGATAAAGTGACATGTACTACATACTACCTCTGAAAAAACTTGCATAAAATGTGAGACCATTTTTTGTCATGCAGACGTGAATGTGCTTTTACATGAATATTTATAATACGTGTGTCGCATTTTACTGCCAAATTGCTCTTCTAAATTTTTCGCTATTTATTTTCAAATAAAAGTATAAAATGACTCTATATAAAGAGTTTTGATCGTGTATAATCCACAATATTTTATAATTAATTTTATGCTCCAAATTTGTGACAACTAACTAACTATTATCGTTTTACATACATATTGAAATACACATTAAAATACAATTCGATTAAACAGAGAGACATGAAATGACTTAATACAATTTTGCAAGGCTGTACAAATTTTGAATATACGATTATTTGAAAGGATACCCCTTTTTCTTCAACTTCTTCCTAAGTCTGCAAGTTGTCCACCTAAAAAGAAAGAAATTAGAGTTTGTAGAGATTGTAAATACATATGAAGTGGTTTTGTTTTAATTTGTTTCCACTTTGATAGCCCGGATTAAGGTGTATGCCTGGCTGCTAGCTGGTGAATTGTTACATAGCGAGTCGAACCGATTACTGATGTTCTTGAAGACTTTTAGTTTTAAGAAGGATGGAGTGAAACAAGCAGAAGAAACGACGGCGGCGGTGCTCCTTTGCTTACTCAAGTGTTGCTTACTCTTTGTTTTTCCCTAAATTTGTTTCCTTTCGTGATGATATTACGAACCAGAACAGAACATCATCAAAAACAACTAACTCTCAAGGAGCCCGCAGAAGGAGAAAAAGAACAAGGCAACTGCATAAACCTTATAAACTACTCAAACAACCAGATCTCTTTTGAAACATTTTATACAAAGAAAATTGGTCATCATGCATTGTATCTGGTGGTGTAGGTACATATGTAGGAACGGATTTCATCCTTCTTCTTCTTGTAAACATCACACATGACCAAGGATTGAAGGATTTTTTTAATACAACGTTCTTGATGATGATGAGAAAAAGAAGAAGATGAATAATGCGAGAACCTCACCAAGTCTCTCAGTCAATTCATGACATAATACATTTGACACGTAAACATACTAAACTGGGATCAACTACTTACGACTAACTTGACTATCCAGCCAGGCTCCTTGTTCCGTCTTGTTTTTTTCGGATTTGTTACAAATACATCATTCAACTCAATTCACACACTAAAATACTCCCATGATAATGTTCTCCCAAACGCCAAACCACACACACTTAAGCACAAACAAAGGCCAAGTATGAACATATACTCATCGGCTCTACTCATCTATGTATGTATGTATCTAATCCATTCCGTCATCCTGGAACAAAAAAGTTCTGAAGACTGTAACCAAAGGAAAGATAAATATTTTGAGCCTGCTCATCGCATCCTCACAGTAATTAGTTCACTGATGATGATGCCCTTACATATCCATACTGCTAAATGGTCATGGTTCAACGGTTCTTCTTCTGTAAAGTAGATCCAGATTCTTAATTGCACCCAAATACAATGCCAAAGTTTAAGAAAGCAAACAACATAACAAAGCAATACGGATAATGGAGAGATGAGGAGAGAAACTCGTATTTCTGAGGAATTAACAAAACAAATCGTTCCATTTCTGGCAAGTCACAGTGTTAATTTGGTAAATTGATGGTGTTGAGTTTACTAAGCTTTAGTTCAAGTAGAATCAAAGTTGCAGGTATTAATAATAACAAATAGATAACAACTTACGTAGGACGCAGGGAAGAGTACATCCTCTTGTTTTTTAATTTGGCAGCTTTGGAATGCAAATATGTTCTTCTTCGGTCCTTCCGTGCTGCAATTATCCATAGATCCATACTGACTGCTTTCATTACGTAATCCGAAAGGCACATTTCGGATCCTTTATTCAACCTTAACTATGAGGACACATAAAAGAAATATTTTTATGATTTAAAATGACTACAAACTATAAACTATTTCAATCACGTAGTAAATTTCGCTAAACAAATACTTGCCGTGAACTCGGGACCTAAATCCTCCAATGGATCCTCCATCGTTTATGAGTTTTTGATTATCTAACAATTTAACAAACAAAGTAGTCTCCTCAAAATTAAAAGTCAACTGTTTTTTTAAGTTTGGCCATTGTTTTTCCAGCCCGGCGGCCGGCACTCACACAACCATCAGTCAGCTCAGCTCACATAGTAAGTTACTATTAGTAACATCTCAAACTGCGAGTTGGAACGGGGATGGAAAATGAGACGTTGAATTGCAATTACATAAAATTGAGACACATTTTGTCTTGATTTCATTCGCAAATCGACATTTAGGTAATTTAAGCAATTTAGTCCAAATTTGTATCCATAATTTTTAACTTTTGAATTTTCTTTCTCAAACTTTTCATTATCTGGATGGATATGGAAGCGTTGATCTTTTTGTGCAAGTTTTACGAGTCAGGTGATATTATGAAAGGCATAAAATAAGTAAAGTGTGGGTTAATAGTAATGAGAAAGCTCGTCTGAAGGAGAGCAGTACTGTATATCTGGAGAGACACACCGAGTGGATGGACTAATGCAAAGGTGCGTGAAGGCGGAGAGGAGCGGATAATCAGAAAGGAAGCTCACCTGTAGAGACGTATGAAGTTAACGACATGACATAATGGTAATAATAATAACAATAACGTGTGAGTTTGAAGGAGAGGCGAAGATGGAACGGAGATATAATAAGAGATGACGGGTTGAGTCGGCCTTTTAACAAAAGGGCTCCCAATTCTAAAGGAACGTTGCAGTCGAGGGGGTCCCGTCCTCCCGATCCTATTCGACGGCACGGGATGAAAGCTCAAGCGATGAAAGTCACACAACAGCGGAAAAACAAATTGGGAGCATTCACTGGAAGAAAATAATATGTGGGTACCATTTTCGGATAAATTAGTATTATAATAATATCTCCGACACACATATTTTCCTACTTGTTACGTGTCATCATGTGAGACGATGAGATGATCTTGTTGTTTTTTGCAGTTGAACTCATTCCTGCATGCGCCAAGTACACGGATTTGCGAATAATTAGATGTTTTACTGCCTTGTAGAGAATATCATTGCATGCGATGTGTAATAGCAATACGTTTACTATGAGGAGGAGGAAGAAAAAGTGTAGCTCTCGTAATAATAATATTATTCTTATGAATTTAATGCGTATAAAAACAAGGCAATAAAGAGAGCTAAGGGATCATTAAGTTTGCTCATAGAGACACTCATACAGTATCACACCATGATTACTTAGTCGGAGATTGACGGCATCCTTTGCACTCTTTGAAACTGAGGGAGAGAGAGAAATTTGACTAATTTATCCAATCCACAGATGAGCAGGCTCCTCAGAATTTCTCAATAGCAGGAAATGACTTGCTATTTATAGGCAGGTCTACCACTGTCATCAAGTGGAATTGGGATGATGATGATGATAGAGCTTGTTTTATTTTATTAGTAGTAAACAGTAGTGGTTGAAAGGTAGGTAGCAGCATGAATATGTAAAAATAGTTGTTTCGTTTTTTGTTGAAATGTGTAAATTGTAATTAATCTCATTCCACTAAATCCACTCGAAATCCTCTCTCCATCATGCGTAAATAATTTGATTAAGCATAATCCGCACAGTGCTTTTTTAACTATAAAATTCATTCCTACTTTTACTTGTGTATCTTATGTGCACGTGCAATAATGTTGAACCAGGAATACTTAATATCTATTACTTACTTATTTCAACCTTTTTAGCCACATTAGTCAGTCAGTCAGTCATTTTATTGCCTAATTAGGTGTACACATTAAGATTTATGGTAATCATTACAGCTACTAGGACCAAGGCAGGCAGGTAGGTAGCAAGGTAACGAAATAATTAGGGAATTTTTATCATCAGAACCAGAACAGTACAATAACGACTGCTGTTACTACATACACATACACACGTAAAATTGTAACAGAGCACTTGTTATGCCGTAATAATCATCTGCTAATAAATTAGAACGCTGCGTTTTATACGTGTGATCCATGCCTTGATAACCTGAACGCAGTCACGGGAAGTGAGCATTGTTACGTTTCTTTATTCCTGCGAAAGACAGGAGTTGCTCCCACTTTTGCCTGCATAACAAAAGCTGACGAATGTATTAGCTCAGCCATTAATTGATATCAATAATGACGACGATGATGATGTGCATGTTGGGTTAAAAAGCGCTGATGTCGATCCATTCACATGATCAGAATTCGTATAGAAATTCAGAGTTTTTTTAATCAGTACGTATTTACATCAATCTTTGGAAGAAAAACCTTTAGTTTTTCAATATTCTCTTCTCCGCTCGACGAGTAATAAAATTCAAGTAAACCTGCCCTTGTCAAATGAGACGGCTCATTATATCGCGAGCACTGAATGGACTGATTTATTCGCCACGTTGTGCTGTATAATGAGCTCGAAGGTAGCACTGCAGTTTACCATTTTCTTTATGTGGTGCCATGTTATTTGTCATTTCACCAGCTACTGAATTTCGCCCACAAACAACTCAATTAATTGACCGCTACTGACACTAAATTGCCAACGAAGGAAGAGAGAGAGACCAATCCATGCGAGAAGAACGGGTTGGATGAGCATGTAAAAAGACATGTTTTCTGTAACTGAACTCATTCCTATTTTTTAACAAGTTTAATAAATAAGAAGATCGTTTCAATCGTGAGATTTTATTCT